GAGTTGCTTCTGGATCCTCAATCGACTGATCAAGATCCGTCCCGCACTGGTATGGTCTCGAGCTGCTAGTCGGGTCCGACTCTTTCGTGCCCGACCCTTGGGGTTCATTGCCTGTTGGATGGTGGTAATCCCCTGATACACTGTTCTTGGTTTGCAATTCCTTCATAGTGCGAGATGAATGCGATGTATTGTTACAAGTATCTACAGATACAGCATAAGCATGAATATTCATGTCATAAGGCACACCATGATAAACCCTAGCCGACGAAGTAGAATCGCAGAGTCCTACACTGGCGTCTCTTTTATTTCCTCAATCTCTGTTGAGCTAGTGAGGTCTTCTTCCTCTATTTCTGCTAGAATGGCTCGGAGACAGGTTGCAAAAGTCAATGGCTTTTTCTTCGGAAACTTCAGCCACTTCGACTTGTCAGGTGGGCACTTATTGTCCCACCCCTGGTTTCCAGTGTGTCTGCACCGGAAACATCGCTTTTCTCTTTTGAGACGATCGATGTCCATAGGTTTGCCTTCACTGCTGTAGGTGAATCCAGTGGCGTCCCTTCTGCTCTTCGAGCCACTCGAAGAGCCCCCTGCTGTTCTGGGCTTGGAACCAGCAGTCCCACTGGGATACTTCCCACCTTGGGTGAGATCAACTCGATAGTTCTCGTCCATTTGTAGGACCCTGTGCCTCCACTCCCAGTAGGTGGTAGGCTGCATATTGTCTCCGCCCATAATAATCTGCTTGATATTGGGCCGGATTGCAAGGGTGACGACTTCCTCCATTTCCTCGTCATTGTGGAAGCGTTCAGCTTCCACGGCCAGTTGTTCGAACCTCTCGAAGAATTCGATGGCCGTCTTGAACTGTGATTGCTGCAGTTTCTTCCATTGCATCCTCTTGATCTGAACCTCTGCTACCTCTCGGAAACGTGTTCGGACATTTTTCTGGAAGGTTTCCCAGGAGGGGAGGCAATGCCTCCTGCTGTGTAGGTCCTTGTAGTGTCGTTGCTGGTGGACCCACCAGGTCATCACTTCCCCACCAAACTGGTGGGCTGCGAAAACTACTCGGCTTGGGCCATACCCATACGCTTCATTAAGTGCAAAGTATTGGGCAAAGACCTCGAAGTAGTATTCGCAGTGATTAAAGAAGCGATCCAGGTCACTGGCCTTCCCATGGAATTTGTCAGGGACCTCTATCAGCGTTCATTTCATGTTTCCCCAGGGGTTGGGTTGTCCATCAGGAATAACCCATCCATTCAGCAGATCAGGTGGTAGCAGAGGGTTAACAGGTCAGGGTAGTGATCGAAGGTTTTGATCACTATGGGGTGACAGCGGTTGTGCTGGGGGTTGAGGTGGTATGGGTGGAGGTCCTCCTCCACCTCCTCCTGGTCCTCCTGGACCACCACCACCTCCTCCAGGAGCAGCAGGTGCTGGTCCACCTGTTTCTCCTGTTGGCACTGATTGCAAGGGGTCTCCACCCATACTTCGGGCATGGAACTTTCCCCCTGCTCCTGCAGCAGTTATCCCCAAGGTGTTGGATGGTGACCAGGCCATGTCAGGGATCAGGTTTTCTGGGCCTACTATCCCTAGGTCAGGGAATGACTCTTCACCGTAGTGCCGTCCTGGTGCTATGGGTTGGTCGGGGTGTATTTGGTTCCAGTCAATGGTGGCATGATACCAGGTTTTGGTACGAAGTATCCCGTCTTCCAGTGTGGAACCCAATTCTGCAGCTTTATATGCTTGACCTTGGTCAGACGTGGTCCAATCTACATTGTACCGCAATCGTCTGCTGGTCCATTCTAACATTTGCTGCCATGTTAGATCATATATTTGTCAGTCCGTGAGCCCCTGTGCTTGAGCCTTGGATGAACTTGGGTGGGTCATAGGAGAGGCTTCTACTGGGGGGGCAGCTGGCCCCATCCTCCTCGAGCCGCTGGTCGATGACCATTCTGGTTCAGGTCCAGGGGTCTGACCTGTTGTCATGGTCGGGTGGAAAACCAATGATCTGGTATTGGGAGAATATCCCATATCCTGCATCCCAGTCATCGTTCCAGTCCCAAACACCCCTGGCATATCTGTAGTACTCATCCCAGATCTCCAGGGCATCTTCACATCTCCAGACCCAGGGCCATAGGCCTCGGAGTGGGAGAAAGCCATAGTATCCATCAGGTAGGAACCCTCCTTCTGGAGCAAGGAAGGGCTCGAGCTTGATGGGGGGTTCTGCTCCCTCATACTCATCGGTGGCCAAGGTCCTGAGACATTGGCAGATGGAACAGTTGCAGTAGGGGTATGGATGGGGGGTCTGGTCAAGCTCCCTCGGGATGCAGTTCGGGAGGATGATAGGGTCCAGAAAGGGTTGGTCTCCAGCAAACCAGTCGAGGATTCTGTCTCCCTCAGGGGTGTCTCCTGGGAAGATAACCCACTGTCCCTGACTAAACAGGGATCCTGGGTGGGTGTAGTATTCTGGGAGCTCCTCATTATTACTGTCAGAGTACTCGGTGAATACGATGTCCTTGGCTCATCTGAGTATGATGTCATCAGGTCCGTCTTTGATGGCGTCATTGGTGGAAGTCTCTGAGATGTGGGCAAAGCGTGGCTCGGCAAAATCTCTGAGGTCGGCAATGGTGATGATGGTCCTAGGGAGGACCTCAGATTCAGGTTGGGGGGAGGGCCAAATGAAGTCTGACTCATGGACAGAGTTGTTGTCCCACCATGAAGGGGGTCCTTCAACTCTGTAAGTTCCATCAGGGGTGTATGACGAGAGGGAGGTTGGGGCATCATGCCACTCTGGCTCCGGAGATTCATCTCTTCGATGTCCTCCTGCGTCGTCCACTCCCCGTATGTCTCCTGGTCCCCGGGTAGGGAGGAATGGGTTTTCACCTTCTTCAAAGGTGGTTCTTCACCTGGTTCATCCATGGACGATTCGATTGAATATGTCATTGTAGAATCCACTCGTTCCTCTCTGGTAGAGACGCTCTCCATCATCGTCGAACCCTGGGACAGCTGCGGATAACTCTGTAGAGGTGATGGATGGCTCCCTGGAGTCATTGTTGTCGCCCCATGTCGTGTCATCCCAGGATCCATCCGTGTTGGTCCAGTACCCGGTGGTAAATCTGGGGTCGACTCAGTTGTCTCCATCATCTGGAGGGATGCCGAGTCGTCCAAGCTCTTCTTCCTGAAAGGATTCTTTGCCTTCACCATCTCGGTGATCCTCGCCCTGAAGCTCAAGCATGGGGGCTTGCTCTTCTCTGTTGGGTAAGGGGTGTCAAAGTGCATCTCGCTCCCCCCTTGGCCATGGTGTGAGGGACCGGAGCCAGACGGTGCTTGTTGTTTGTGAGGTTCCTGTTGATGAGCCATTGAGTCCGTGTACTCTCCCTCTTCCAGGGGTCAGTGCTCTTTGGCATCGGGTTGGTCAGAGGATATGAAGAACTGTGACTGCAGTTACTAGTGTCAAGATACTGAAGATACTTCCGAAGATAATGGCAGTGCGGTCTGAGGGGGTGAGCGGCATAAAGTTCATTGTACCACAACGAGTGTTTATGATCTTGGGGTACGATGGGTGCCATTTTAAATAACGGGCTGAAGGTTTCTTTTCTTTGGAAGTATAACAGTGACTGCCTTGAAGCGGTACAGTTACCATTGACAACGGTAAGGGTAGTAAGGGCAAGCTTTGGCTAATTGTTAAGCACTAACTCTAATCTGAACCAAGGCTGGTCTCTATCCTGTCACTCGTGTTCGGTGATTCAGTGTTAGAGAGGTGTTGGTAGATTGCAAGAAATTAGGCATCACTTTATAGTGAAAGCAAGGAGCTTGTAAGAGTTAGGAGTATATAACCTTAGCCAAAGCTGGGGTCTAAGGCCACAGCATAGGCTAGCTTAAATACATGTTAGTCTCGTACTAAGAATAGTATCTACAAGGGCATGTGCAATGAGAAGTGCATCTTTCAACGAATGAGGAGGGAGGACACTAAAAGAAGTGTGCTCCCAACGAATGAGAGTAAAGAGTGCATATCACCTGCATCTGCGTGGGACTCCATCTGAATAGGCTGCATCCCGTAGACCGCCCTTGACTGGCGGTCGACTCTCGTCCAACTACTAAGAAGCATGATGCCATCGAGAGAAGCATGATGGCACATGCGGGTCGCTGGTCATCTGGGGGTGGCAGCTGTGAACTGGGGTGATGGCATCCGGGTAAACGGGTAAAAGAGTGTGCCAGTGGAGTATCATGGGTCCGAAAGATAAGATAGGCAGGTCTGGGGTTCCAAGGGATAAGGATAAGATAAGATAAGGAAAATAGGGGTAAAACCATAATAATTCACATATCGTGACCGAATTATGGTATTATGACATTTGAAATTTCCTATACCGACTCTGTGCATAATTTTGATTTCCATGATAATGTGTCAATTGGACTACTACGCCATCTTCCTAATGTTGAGTCACTTCATCTCACTCTCCCATTCTTCTGCACTTGCCTATTTGGCGAGCTACAATCCAATCCCAAGTTTCTTCTGCGGTTGGTTGATATCACGTTCTTATGCTGGGATCTTCAGAAAGATGTGGATATCGTGTATATATGCCATATGTCGAAGTCCCGATGTCGAGCTCTCGGGTGTGCAACAATTTCCAAGCTGACCTTACACCGCTCCAATCCCTTGAAGGTTCATTCCCCTGTAACACCCAGCTGGGAATCCTTGCTGAAGACCGGTCTGAGTGTGTCCTTTATATAGTGTGTGCATGAGTACCCTTTCTTATTATCCGTTCTGTCCAATGCTTATACATTTGTTAGGTTGTGTATATATTGATAGTCTTGCACTATGGAAATACTTTTGTCGCTTTCACTTTTCTGTTCACGTGCATTTTGAACATACCTCGGAGACCATTGCTTGTATCAGTCGCAAGCCGCCCCTGTGAGTGCTCCCATTGTGTATTTAGCAGGAAAACCAATACACAACATTTGCATCTTATGGTTAAGCGAATGTGTCCATGTCGATCATGTTCGTGCTAACGATGTCGACCTTGCCTTCTGCTTTCCTCCGGCAGGATGGTGCTCCCTTGGTTTTATCATGGGCCGTTCGAAGGTCCTGATATCTGACCTCAACTGCTAACACGCTGTTCCCTTAGAGGTGCATATATTTCTGATCATCCAATGTCCCCCTCCTTCAGAAACTGACGTCCCTCATTACAGTACTTCAGAGAATCCCCGTGTGTAATATTCAGGTAATGACCTGTTGATCATGTTTACATGCAGCTAACATTTGTGCATACTTTCCTTCATTCTATGTTCTGCAGTGAGCTGCTTGGTTGCCTCATATTACTTGCACCGAGTCTTCCGGTCTCTCAGAACAGCTCAGTGATGACTAAGCATACCTGATCAAGCCTTCTTCTTTACAATCATCACCTTGGTACAGTACCTGCCTTCACCTTCAATAACTTGTATTTACACCTTCTCTAGCTCAAATGTTGCTCTTGGCTTATGTCTACAACCAGTGGAGTGCCGAGGTCCCCTTCATGCGTGGAGGGCTGGATGGTTTGATCGATGCTCTGAGTCGCAAGCAGCAGGCTTTGGAGGGCGAAGGATTTCAGATGATGACTTGCACTATCACGTGAGTTTCTGTTTCTATTCATTGTATTATGATACTAACATGTAAATTGAATAGAAAAACACCCTCTCCCAATCACCCAAACGTTACCGTACGTGTGTACAATTCATACAACAACCACTTGGGTGCCCTCCACTATGATCCTCTCCACCCCAAAAGTGCTTGCTTCTCTCCCAACCACCGAGAGAAAAGGCTCAAACACATACTAGATCACCTTGTACATGGCATCCAGCCCAGTTACAAGGTTCACTTCAATCCCAACATGAACACGTTCTTGGATGCTATGTGAGTCTCTTCATATTCAACATGTACCCTCCACTGATGTTGTGCAGTGTCATTCAGTAAGCAATTGCCATCACTGGCAGTAAAAAAAATTATATATTGAATCTGTATGTACTATTGAACTATGAAATTCACTACTATCTTGACTTATCGGCCGTTTCTGTCTGTCTGTGACAAGGTAGCGGGTCTTGCTGCTTGCCAGCCTTACTTAGTTATTATTTACTCAGCAGTAAGATGTGCGACATGTCCTAATCAAGTAAAGATTCCTTCCAGAGGATAATCAGACATAAAATTGGGGGTAATCATAACAGGAAACACTAGAAAGAAAAAATACATTAAATCAGGCATGAATATCATGGTATCTAAAAAAACAGGTGAGAAACAATCTAAGCAGCAGAAGTAAGGATGCGCACCGTACTGTATACAGTATACGGCCGTAAAGCCATTGTCCCAGACAGTCATGGAACTATCCATATACCGTGTTGTATGGTCTGTTTGAATGCCTTGTCGGCGTTGGTACGGGTACCTTACAGCCGTCTACAGTCATTGACGACTGTGCACCTGAGTATGAAATTGATTTGCTCATAAAGAAGTGAGTCAGATGCCTTTAAGACTGCCAAAAATCTGTAAAATGCACCTGGTCTCATAATCAGCTATGCCGCATTGAGCAGGGCTAGAAATATCCAGGAATTAAAATAAAGTCACACATATTGTCTTGATTGTGTATGAAAAACTGATAAGACAGCTAAAAGAGTGAGTTAGTAAAGCTATGAAATTGAATGATGGCTATTTTGTGTCATAGAGTTGCCCTAAAAAAGGCTCTTGGCTGAGTCAAAAGTAAGTTAAAATATAAGCTGTATTACAACGTTGTACGGCCGTCTGTGAGAGGTCTTGATGGTGATGGAACAACCGTACGCTGTACCGTACAAATGGCCACTGGGATGCATTCAGCTTCGGTCCGTATTCCATATAACGGTTACCGAAAACCATACAATACGGTGATGGCACGCATCCCTAAGCAGAAGAGTAATAAGGAGAAGGCCGCTCCATGAAACGACACCTTCCCAAATGAGAATCGAGGCTTTCTTTACAATAATAGATTCTGAAGCAGCCGGGACACATGAACATGCTCTCAAAGTCTTTATGTTCCGAGCTTTTCACATGTGAATACAAATGTGGCATGTCTGCTGCTGTAAACTTGCACATCTTGAGTGGGCAGACAAGCCCATCGAAGTATCATGCATGCATCGCAGCATGGGATACGCCTTCCCTTGTCTTTTTGAAATGCTTGTCATACCTAAGATATGCACATCTAAAACGAAGTCTAGGATCAGTTGACATTGATGGGAAATTGGAATCTTGAGGTGATCAATGATATCAGACTTGTGTTAATGTGGAGGATGAAGGGACTAACCTAGAACTACACTCGGGCCTTGGCACGTTACCGAACATGAACATTTGGCCACCTACATTTGGATCTACGATCGTTTGATTTCTCTTCCGGCACATTGGTCCAGACACCTCGTGCATCTACAAACAATCCTACACATGAGTGACTGGAAAATACAGAGTGTGAAGACTGCCTACATTGCTGCCAAATACCTGCATCTTAGTGATTCTAGACTTGGCCTTCCTGAATGGAGAGAAAATCAGCCTGGGTGGGAAATGAACTGGAAACTCAATGAATAGATATTTGGAACTGCACAGCAGTACGTGAGAGAAGGTCAGAGAGTGGCTTATTGGAATATCCATGAGGTCGAACAATTTTTATATCATGGTGAGTCTACATCTGTGGTGCATGTGATCGTAACAATACTCTGTAAATGCCACCCCAATCGAGGCAGCAGAACAAGTTTCTATTATCTTTCTTGTCTCAGGCTGATTCTACCCTATTGTGGAAAATATTAATGATCATTGGTCGGTTCATTGATGTTTTTGAATGGTGATTTGAATTTGCCATCCAGATGCCACCGAACTAAGACACTGAGGATGCAGCAAATTATCAAATTGCTCAAAACAATGGGTGTCGTCTGTGCCATTGGTAGCGATCAGTCATTAAATTGATTGGATATGCATAGATGATCTTGAATGGTGGCTTGACATTTCCATCTAGATGCCAGTACCACCGAACTATGACACTAAAGATGCGACAAGTGTCATCAAATGGGTCTAGAATTAATGGACAGCGAGTGATCTGCACCATCAGCGATAATTGGGTACAGCAGACGATTATGGATCTTTGTATTAATTGCAGTTTCGATGAGACTTGAGCCGTAAGTAGGCGAGAGGCTGAGAAGCAACAAGGAAGTTACTGGATTAGTTGCATGGCGGTGGTATGCTTGCAGCCGTTTTCTCTAGGTTACATATGACCTAGGTCGCCTAGGATGTCGTAGTTGGTGGTGTCAATGGTTCCACAGACAATACAGAAGAGAATCTCAAGGGAAAGATAGTAACTGGCAGAGCGTACGACGTCTGCCAGACAAGGAGAAGCCCACACTTGTCTCTGGTGTAATCAGATTTGAGCTGTTATTCAAAGGGGGGAGAGCAGAAGGTCTCGAAGCCACGATATCGATGATTTCATTTTAGGAACTTGCGATAGTTAGGAAAAGATGGCAGCTTTAATGAGGTGTGCTGACTGTGAAATAAAGGAAAGATCCAGTCAAACCAGAAGCGGGATTTTGTTGTGCAAGAAAGCATACCCATTTAAATGAGAATGGATAAGAAGAAGGATAACATAGTTAGAGTCAGATAGAGATAGGTAGTTCCGAATGCATTGTCAATGACTTAATTCGCCCATTCAAGTTGGGAGTCCAATAGATATTCTCCATGAGACCAATGTCAGAAGACAGCGCCTGTAGGAGTAAATGAGTACAGACAATCCAAGATAAGATGATACCCAATGAATGATGGGGGAGTTAGTCGCTCTACGGGCCTGAGGCATGGTCCAAGAATCCTGGATTATTTTGCCTTCCTCCAGAGATCATGAAGCATGGTCGAGGTTGCGAGTACAAATATGTCAGGGAATTATGTATGGCAGAATTTAGTTCAGAAAATCTTTGACGAAGGACCCTAGATGCTAACCATGTTGTATTTCCGCCAAATTTCCGCTGGAGGTGAGTTCCGGAAAAGGAAGGATCGGCATCTGCCGTATGACAAGAAACAAAGGTGGCACTGCCACATTCAGCCCTTTCCGACATCATCCATCACAATCGCAGCAGCCCTTCGAGCACGACGCGGCTAGGCAGCGATGTCGCTTGCAAATTAACCTATCAAGCGGAGCTCTCAAGACCGCTTATCTGGATGTCCTTAACGGGCCCAACAAAGACTGGGTAATATACACGTACGAGGCTGGTTCGAATGACCTCAAGGTGCAGGCCACAGGCGATGGTGGACTTGAAGAGCTCGAGGAAGAGTTCAGTGATGGGAGAATACAGTACGCCTTTGCCCGGGTAGTAGGATCCCAACGTACGCTTGCGATTCTCCCTTCATTTTGATTGAAGCTGACTGGTGAACGTCTGTAGAGCAATCTTCCCAAGTACGTTCAGATAAACTGGTGCGGTGATGGTGTTCCAGAGGCGAAGAAGGGGCTTTTCCATACCCATTCGAGTGCCGTAGGGCGGCAATTGCTGCATGGTGCTCATGTTGTACTAAGCGCTCGGAATGAGGTGCGTACACGCTGTTCTCAGAAGCGACCTGATACTCACGAAAAATACAGGAAGACGTGACTCCAGAACTTATCATGAAACGCGTCGAGGCGGCCTCAGGTGCAAGGTACACTGCTCAGAAGGAAGCTCCTAGGAAGTACGAGCCGATAGCGCCGGTGGGGTCCAGTTATACCCCGGTAGGAAAGGTCGATATTGCTGCACTCAAGGCGACGAAACCTGCACCATCGCCTTCTGCTGCTACTTCAAGACCGTCTCTTCCTACTGCTACTAGACCGGTATTTGGCGCGTCAAAACCGGCAACTGCCTCTGCAGCGTCGCTCTACGGACGTACGGCACCTGCTAGCAAAGGACCAGCTCCGGCAGACGCATGGCCTGAAGAAACCCCTGTTGCAGCAGCGCCGTCGCCGCCACCACCACCACCTGCAGCGTCGCGTCCACCGGTCCTACCAACCGCACCACGCCCGACACCCTCCACTGCTTCCGTTCCGGTTTCAATAACTCCTACCAAACCTACGGAAGACGATCTCATTGCACCTGTTGGAACGGCTTATACACCGGTCTCCCTACCCGCACCCAGGAAGCTGAAGAACCCGTTCGAAGGCCGGTTCCAGCAGCAGGAAGAACCGCAGAGAGTTACGCCAGTGAAAAAGGGATTGACATGGTCGGAGAGACAGGCTCTAGCGAAGAAACAGAGGGAGGAGGAAGAGAGCAGAAGTTTGGCTGCTCAAGCTAATATTCCCTCCCCTTCACCAGCCCGGAGGTTTGGTGTTGGAACCTGCTGCCGCCACTGTGGGAGGCGCTGCCATTGGTTTAGGTGCCGCTGCTGCCGTAGCTGCCCGCGAACCCGAACCTGAATCCGAACCAGAGCCGGAAGAAGCAGCGGTATACTCCCAGTCCCTCCGTATTACTTTTCGTTGCTGACATGATCGATTTCCTAGGCACCTCCTCCTCCACCACCACCACCACCGCCACCGCCTCCGCCTCCGATGGTAGCGGCAGCAGTGGAAGAGGAAGAAACTGCCCCGCCTCCACCTGCACGTTGCTTTGTTCTGCTACTGTGGTCTTTTCGTTGATTTCATGTTATGCAGCCTCCCTCTCCTCCTCCACCCCCTCCACCGCCAGCACCTATGCAAAGCATTGAAGAAACAGCAGCGCCACCACCTCCACCCCCACCGCCGCCTCCACCTCCGCCTCCACCAGTGGCACAAGTAAGTTGTCTCTACTTTTCCGAAAGAAATTCCTAATTGTCGCTAGATGCAATCCCTCGCTGTATCCGAACCGGAGCCTGAACCTGAACCCTGAACCCGAAGCAGCTGCCGCACAAGGCCAGGGTATATGTGCCGTCGTACTGTACGAGTATGAGGTATGGACTTACCTTCTTCGAGCTTCCATAATAATTAATACTTTCACCAGGCGACTGAAGACAACGAAATGACTCTCCTCGAGGGAGAGCTCATCGAACAAATCGAAGAGCTTGACGAAGGTTGGTGGAGCTGGTGTTGGACCGGGAGGCAAGACAGGGGATGTTCCCCGCAAATTACGTTCAGATCGTAGAACAGGAGGCTGCGCCTGTGACCGCTCCCTCTCCACCACCGCGCCCTCCCCCGCCTCCTGCGGCGGACGAAGGAATCACAGCCATTGCTTTATACGATTATGATGCCGCAGAGGACAATGAGCTCACTTTTAAGGAGGGCGATAGGATTACTGAGATCGAGCCTGCGTCAGAAGACTGGTGGAATGGAAAGGGACCTGGAGGCGACGTGGGTTTATTCCCCGCGAATTATGTTGAGATGCAGGAGTGAGATCACAATCTCCTCACTGGTACGGCGAGGGAGTAATATGTAGAAGTTCAATCTCTATGGATAATCACTTTGGTAATTTAAAGGTTTGCACCTACCTGTAGATTGTCGCTCATTGAGATCAGATGCATTTCCAAGTAGATAATCCAATACCCGGATAATGATTCGGTCTTCAACGATTTCTCTTTGTCATTAGTCGCTAACGTTACTATTTCCTATTATTTCTCCAAGAATCCAAATAATCCGGATCCGCCGAATTTGGGTCCAAATTTCTTCGGACCGATTATGGCACCGGCTATCAAATGCTTCTTTTAGTTACCGCAGGTTGCTTTTGTTCCTTCATCATGTCGATGAGACCGTTCACTCATTCCAATGCACCTCCGTTTGCGATGGCCTCGAGTCACCGAGGAATCGCAATTTTAAAATACAGCTAAATTCGATCTAAATGGAGTCACTTGACTGTATAGGACGCGGGATAATTGTTTCGCGAAGAAAATGCTGAGGCGCAATGGTGTGTTTCTTCCTTGACACGATAATCGTACGGAATTCTGATATTATGACATTCAGTTTTGACCGTCTTAGTATCCCTTTCTGTCGCTATCAACGCTGTGGTATAATCTAGGCTGCTGGTCCTCGTCTGTTGTATGTTGAATGCCAGGTAACCACTTTCCCCTAAGTATATATCGGAAAGCATGGTCTAATGGTCTTCCTAGTCCTTTATTTTGTGGGTAAACATGACAGGGTGATGTTTTTCTGGGTTAGCCGATGATACTGTGGAGTATAGGGCACATACAACTGGGTTGTAGTCACGGTACGGGTGTACTGCCCTGACTATATGTGCTTCAAGAACTAACCTGACCTTCGTAGCCGATGATCTGCCCTCTGAAAGTAAATAATTTATCAGATGTAGCCCTCATTTGTCGTACCCCCGCCCTTGGCTTGCTGATACACGTACGGATCAACCATTGAGTGCCAAAGGGCGCCATGCTTCGGCTAGTCTTTCAATCGCATCTTTCATCCCGTCTACTATCATCTTTGCTCTTCTTCTGCAAATGCCATGGGTCAGTTGGATGGGGTGGTACCGCGCAACTAGCACATCGCCCTCAAGCTGCACTCTTTAAGGTGTGTTGCGACTTTACACCAGTAGCTACTCGAAACCTGATATCTTTGTTCATCAGAAATGATTGGTGATTTATGCGTATATCAAACGATCACCGCCCTTTCACTCCAGGCTGCACCCGAACGCTATCAAAGGTGAGTCCATCACGACCGCCTTTCACTATTCGCATGCTTATTCTTAACTTCCATCAGACTTTGTTTTTGCATCGCGAAGAAGGCATTTGTCGATGGGATTCTGCTGGACAGAAGAGGCCGCGCATGCGTTGGACTACTCCTGGAAGACTCGATACTGTAGGACGCCTCCCTACTACCGTGGATGTGAAAACAAGAGCCCTGGGATTTGATTCGACGGTCCTTGTACCGGCTTCTACGCAGAGTTCCGTGTCATCAGGGCCTTTGAGATACACTTTTTACAAAGATTCTTAACCCGATCGTGTCCAGGTCGCGGAATAATTCGCTTTTTTCCTGCCATGTGCACCTCGCTAGCATCTGATCTGGGTCGATGCCTCCGCCCATCCCCATATTCCCTATATATGCCTAGTTTCGTCGGGGAATCGCCAATCATGGCATCGACCGACACATCATTCCAATCGTAGGCAATCGCGATTCACAAACGATATCGATAGGATAGAAGCTTTGGCGATGTCCAAAAAGCTAAGGAGCGGAGAAATCCGACAATGTCCATATGGCTGGAATACTCAGTATTCCTTCTATAGTCATAGAAATGTGGCAGACGGAAATCAGTATGCGGGGGATGGCTGACTCGAGCAAGCAGGGTCTATCTCCAAGGTTTGTGTCCGATTCGTACTTTGGGAGGAAAGTGATGCTGACAACCTTCTAGAAAAAGAAGACTTGCACGAGTGAAATAGCCTATATGCTTCCATCTTCTACATGGGTCGAAGCCCATCGAGAATGATAACGGTATGCTCTGCCTCTCCTCACCAGATTTCGCAGTCTTAACCGAAACCTTAGGCTAAGTACTGTCATACTTCGCCTCAATAGCGTTACCAATTCTAGTCGGGCTTGATTTAAGTTTACGAATTACCCCTAGGCGGAACATTGCTCTTGTGGAAGTGTGTGTAAGAATCAACATGGTAATTTGGACACCCCTTCCGTGGCGGATGTCACATTCGAATTTTTCAGGAAGCTTTCTCTCTACTGTTTCCTCTGGGAACTTTCAAAAAAAGTTTCAATAGAAGCTGAAGAAAGACGTGGCAATCCTTTTACGTCTCGTCGGTGTCACGTCGATGATCCGCCTCGATACGAGAAACCTTCGCGCCTCGTTTTCTCTCTTCTTTTTGGCCGATAGGCCTCGTGTTATGCCGAATCAGCCTTGCCTATTTCCTATATCTACTAGAGGAACTCGTCACGACCTCAATATCTCGCAATCGCTTCCTTAACCATACGACAGATATAGTGAAGCCCTTTAGCTCTAACTGTCAGTATCATCATTGCAATTGTGGCATTCCAAATCTAACCCTGACTCGTTGACAGTATAATGACCTACCGAAATATTCTTCCAAGACGGTACTCGCTACTCTATAGATACAGTCGCCGACTTCATCATCAACTCCCTCACTGATCCACATCACCCGACATACTGTACCGTCACCTACACCGGTGCTCTCGGTACAATCAACAACGTCCCCACCATCAAGAACCTTCGTACTTCACACCACGCACTCTTCGACACCTATCCTCCGATTCCTTATGACCCCTCGAACTCATAGTGAAATTCGGTCACTCGAAAAGTCCTTTCAGTGTTGTACGCCCTCATGCGCTCATCACGACCTCGCCTTTCGCTTTCACGCAGGGAATCTTCCAAACTATCAGGACCGCCCTGAGGATCGATTCCGCTTCTCCGAGGTCGTTTTTCTCATGACCTGTATCATCACGCTGGCCATCAGTAATCCTGGTCAGGCCGGGAAGAGCACTTACTATCATGACACCCCTAGACGCGTTCGCCGGGAGAAACGCACTGGTACCAAGCCCATGTGGCCTACCACTCGCGATACCCTCTATTCTACGGTCGGACAGGACACGGCTGTCCAAATGATCTGGCAGTGGATATACATGTACCAGTCGATCCCGTCGTTCTTCTTATTCACGCTCTTGTACAATACAGCCGGCAGCACTCTGAACGGCTCCGTTTACTCTATCCCTTCCTTTAACGCCCAAGCAATGGAGATAATCGACAAGAATGTCGATTTGTTCAAGGCTGTTCCCTACTGGAAGTCGCCTGAGGCGCAAAAGTATCTGGATATTCTCGAACGAGGGGTCGATGCTGTGTACATGACCACGTTGATCATGATACGCCAGGGGGATATGAGTCGTGTGCAGAGTCATTGGGGGAAAGATTCACATACTCTCCTTAAGGTGCTCTGCAAGGTGTTCGATGCCACTTGGGGCATTCCGCTGGTGCTTAACGATTCCGTGTACATGAACCTGAGCCGGATCAAGCAGATAACCGCCCAGCTACACCACACCTTCCATCTTCCGTACGATAAGGAGGTTTACCACTGGGTCGTCGTCGATAATTCGCGTAGGATAAAAGAGCAGGAGGGCGGGAAGAGCGTGTTCCGACTTGCGTGCGACGCCGTTATTCGGGTTTCTAACAGTGACCGGTGTCAGTCGCCTGGATGCTCAGAGACGTTTACGAGTCTAGGGAGGAGGTTCCAGGGTTGCGGTGGGTGCAAGCGCGTGTCGTATTGCTCTGAGGTATGTCAGCGTCATGCTTGGAAGCTCCCCGAGGCACCGCATAGGATGGTTTGCTCTGCCCTTGCGACGTTTGCAGACAAGCTTCAGCTTCCTGCAAGCATTTCCTTGGCGACAAGCGCGAAAATTGTCCGGGATGAGGAGGTCGATGCAATATGTTTGAAGGAGGGTGTGACAAAGGATGAGGCGTATATGATTCACGCCCATTTCATCTCGCTAGCGGAGCTACTCGTGTCCGCAAAGCAGAATGGTGGCAGGACCTTATAGTATCGCTAAGTCTCAAAGTTTTTGGTGTTACGTGTATTACTGAAATGCAACATTTTTTCTTGAACATTCCGGTAAAAAGAGCTGCTGTCGTTGTGCGATTGCAAGGCGATCACTGACTGCCTACCTGATCATTCAGACGTCGTTTTTCATTATGGGATAACGTTTTTTTATGATTTGATAAACGTCACCACCACAGCGCGGATCGGAACCCAAGTCTTTTCTTCTTCAGTGCCTCTGTAGAAGGTGAGATTTCATTAAATAATTACCTTCGTCAACTGAAGAGTCTTTGCGATATCAACAAGATATCAATAACCGCAGTCCTCTTTCCTTGGTGCACTCGGTCAATTCAGTACTATATGCTGTGTAAACGTAATTATATGCCGGCCAGCCATCGAACATTCTCCTTATTACCCACAGTATCCAAACTGAGCTAAATGGACCGCGGGGTGACGATGCCTATTGACTATGGCGCAGATCTTCGGGTTTCGCTGTCAAACCTGTCTTGCGCTCGTACTACGAAATCACGCGGAGTCGACGTACTTCCTTTATCTTCGTCTAGTTCATATATCTCATGTGAGTGAACATCGTTTTTTCAAAATATTCCGAAGCAAATAATGTGTAAAACAGTGAATACCGCAATGTCACCCTGTGAAATCATATTTCCGGATAGAACTTCATACAAGCTCGACGCTATCGTTGACTTCTTCATTGATTTTCTCTCTGGTCTCACCCGCCAATCATACTGCATCGTGTTCTACACTTCTCTCGTCCGTCTCAGGAATTTACACACTTTGGCGGATCTGCCAGCATCTCGTCAAGACCCATTGAAAACATGCTTGCTGTTCCTTGTGACGCCAAGAACAGAAGATAAAGTCCGTACTCTACAGAGCATTATGGAAACATGCACTTGTCCCAAAAATAATCCACTTATGTACCGGCTTCATCCATACTACCCACAAGTCGGGTGCGTGTAAGCGTGTCTCGTATTGCTCAGAACAGTGCCAGTGACGGGCTTGGAAGCTGGATGAAGCACCACATAAGGTTGTGTGCCATTTAGTGAGGGTTTTTCGGATCGCATTAAGACTCTGTTTAAATTCGTAGACGGGAATGTTCTCTCGCCAGGTGTGGTTGAAACAATACGCCGGAAAGAGACGTGGATAAGATAGAGGCGCGTCTGTTTCGTTTACATTTTGGGCTCATGGACCCGTTGACGGTCGTTAATGACCCATACGATTCGACGGTTGATTCAGTTGACATAGGGCGTTGATTCGCCACAAATTTATTGTTCGTGTCGGTATTCAGAAACTGTCTGCTCTGCTTATTAATTCATCTTGCAGTCCGCCAGTGCTTCTTTATTGGCATCGTATGAAATTGACGATGGTGCGTTATCGACTTGTAGTGAATTCTAAATCAAGCAGAGCACTGACAGGGCTAGGTGGCGACCGGTCGATGTTCAACGACCGGCTTAAGCTTGTCAAGATTTCCAAATTATGATTTCAGAATATCTTCAATCTTTCTGAGTTCTTTCTGCCCCTGAAGGTATCCCAGGCTGTAATTACTTTAAGTTTATAACAAGCATACTTATCATACAACAGATTGTGTTCGACGCGTCCCATATTTCCATTTTTGGACGACGCGCCTTTCCGTTTCGACCCGCCGTGATCATAATTCTGTGCCAACACTCCTGCTGGGGCTCTGGGCACCAGTTTCGTGTCAAATCTCGACCCTTATATCTGGCACAAACGTAAAATGTAGCGGCCTGTGGTGGTATTCCACGGCAACTGTGCCTCATGCTCAGAGCACGACTGTCATAACGCTTCTGTTTGAGCCGTTGTTGATCTTCCTACAGGTAGTCTCCCCAAACTCTGGGCAATATGATCAATACACCGAGATTTGAGAAAATAATGGGCCGTCGAAGGTCGGCGAAAGCGGAGCATGAAATCCAAAAGGAGCATTTCAGCAGTTCAGCCAACATAAATATCTTGGAAAAAAGTGATTGATACATCCAGTAGTCGCGCCGTCTGTGTTTTCATTACTGTAATGAATACCTTGCATCAACGGCCTTTCTTATACCGGTGATAAAAGCGATCATCAGCCTTGGCAATGTAGCTATTGCGGACTTCGAGGGCCCGACTCGGAACAGGCCGGTTTTTGAGATGACTAAGCAATCGATTACATTGTCGGTTCTTCCTCTTGTCATTTCATGTGCGCCAACCAGATGAAGCCTGTTCTTTACCAGGAACTGCTAGAGTACATAATCAGCTTCAATCATGACGATATGTATGTGCTGAGAGCCTGCTCATTGGTAACTCATTCGTTTCTGCCCAGCAGTCAAAGCTACATCTTTCACGCGGTCGCTTTAGTTCGAAGTGACATGAAAAACTTGAAGACATTCGAACCCCTTAACGGAAGAGTCTACACATGCACCAGATTCTCGTCCCTCCTCGAAAATTCCCCCCATCTTTCATCTTTCGTCAAGGTCTTATGTATTTATGACGACCGACATACTCGCACTTCCGATGATATATCCTCACAACTACATTGGACAAACAACGACTCTGGCATGGAACCCATCCTTCCCCGTATCTTTTGCCGCCTTGGCTAAGTGCGGCAAGTTACTATCAACTGCTTTCCGATCGAACAAACCTCCTGGCATGTTACCCATCCAGCGGTGGCAATTGCCTTGTCAAATATTGTCTCCCTGCAGAGTGTATCTACAGTTGAGATAGACCCGTTTAATATCTTGACGTGATGGAACTTTTCTCCCTTCTTCGCAGAGAAAACTCTCACATAAAACATCTGTCCATTGATTACCCCATCTTTACGAATGATTTTCACACCGGTGAAATCCCAGAATATCCGCTCATAGAACTCGAGAACCTTCGGTTGACTTCGTGGGCGGGCAATATGAGTCGTTATGTCATCCAACCGTTCCTTGGGGAGCGCTCGCCTTTCGATTTAACCACGGTCCGACATTTATCTCTACTGTTTCATTGGATAGAACTTGATGATCTCCTACAAATTCAGAAGGCTGTCAATCAAATTGGCAAAAATCTTGAGCATCTAACAATCTTTGTTGACACCTGGAATAGACGCTGTGAGTCGCAATATCTTGCTTTGACGTTCATTAAACGTGTTTGATTTTTAGATGATGCGCGGCTGGACGTCAGTATAAACTCGCACCTTTCGCGTGTCGACACTGTCGCATATGTCTTTCCGGTGGATGGATGGTACAAGCATTTCCCATTCAGGTCCATAGTCAAGCACGTGCGCTTGGATATCCAGTATCGTGAGCGCGATGAGGAGAATGTGGGACGAGTACTTGAATGATGCGCAAACATCACAGTCTTTGCAGAGTGTCGAGATTTTTGTACATCTGTGTCAGGAATTGCGTTGTTCGTGGCCTTCTCATTGTAAAGCTTGCTCCCCTAGGCATCTGAATCGAGCTGAGCGGATTCGAACGCAGATGCCCAGGTTGCGGCAGAGGGGTATTCTACAGGTCAAGGAACAGCATTGTAAGTGAGTTCCGCTACTATGTCATCCTATAACAGACTTACTGAGACACAATGGTAGTCCGAGAGATTCGAGGAGGGTTCTATGAGCCGAATCCTTAGTCTTGCAAGAGACTAGATCCGATTCCACCGAGGTTTACAAGCTATGGAATAGTATTTTAGCTGTTCAGGCTCTTCTTTACGACTTGCTGAACGTTGTATGAGCTCCGAACGTTCATTCTGGTGCTCGTATTTGTACTTATTTTTCGTCCAAAGGAAACGACGCTGCCTTGCGTGTGTACTCTCTGACGCGTAGCAGCGGCCCGGTGTTTGTTCTTCTTACCAATGCCATCATCAGCATTACACAGCACGTATATATCGTAGATGACTCATTCGGCCGCGGCCGAGTGTAATTGTGGGTATAAAGGACGTGGAAGGAGTGTTTCTACGGTGCTAAAAACCAACATGTCTACATTCAAAGACCTCGGTATTTCTTCTTCACAATCCACCGTTACCGTCAAAGCCATGGATGTCGGCGCATCATCGACATGTCTACCCGCGGAAGCCTTCATAGATCCTGTACTTCCAGGATACGAAACGTTCAGCGTGCCAATTTACGCTTTTCTCATTGAACACGAACCCACAGGAAAGCGTCTCATGTTCGACTTGGGGATGCGCACAGACCAGGAGGGTTTCTCCCCTGCGATCCAGCAAATGCTGAAGTTGTGGAAGTCGCAAGGGTTCGAGATATCTGCTGATAAGAGTGTTTCCGAGAAACTGCAGGAAGGCGGGGTCGACTCAGAGACTATCAATGCTGTTATTTGGAGGTAAATTGCCTGTCTTTGAAAATCGAGCTGAGCTAATGAAAATGTGTCGTTCTAGTCATAGCCATTTGGATCATTGTGGTATCTTGCTAGGATCCATAATTTGGTCGCTGTTTGGTACTAATAATATCCATAGGTGATATGTCGAAATTTCCTAGCAGCACCGAACTTGTGATTGGTCCCGGCATGGATACGCGCACCTTTCCCAGTACACTTGACTCTTCCCTCCTCGAATCCGACTTCGCGTAAGTGTTTTAGTGCTGATTAACGTTTTGCATACTACTAACATTGGCCTATTTTCAGCGGACGAAAAGTAACGGAATTGAACCTCACTGACTTCGAGGTTACCATCGGGGACTACGAAGCTTTTGACTACTTTTCTGATGGTAGTTTCTATATACTTAATTCCCCAGGGGTGAGCCCTTTTTGCCATAACCTGTAGAAAGGGGGAGCTTACTCACATCATAAAATAGCATCAGCCAGGACATATCACTGCCCTCGCCCGCGTCACTCCGACGTCGTTCGTATTATTAGGTGGTGATTCTTGCCATCACCCTGGAGAGCTCCGGCCTACAGCTGACCACCACAAGTACTTCCCCTGCCCTGGGCGTATCCTCGAGTCCCTGGGAGACATTTCCATCTCCTCGCGTACCACCCCTCTCCTCTCTGTTCCGTCTGGATCACCAGTATATGCTGATCGGGAGACTTCTCTCGCGACAATCTCCAAACTCAGCAGGTTTGACGCTAATCCGGATGTCTTGGTATTGATCGCACACGATTCCACCGCTCCCGGTGTAATTGATGAGTTTCCGACGAGTATGAATGACTGGAAGGCGAAAGGGTGGAAGGATAAATTGATGTGGGCCTTTTTGGAGAAGGACAGCCCGGCATTTAGATTTGGTTAGGACACCTGGGCTACTTGTCTCGTTTTCGCGTCGGCTCCCGAACAGTCACATTGAAGATCGCTCGAAGGGGCTTCGCTCAATAGTATGTTGTGTCTATTATTTCAATTAGACATGTTATCTATCCAGCCAGTGCCTCGTAGCCCTGTTTACGAAGCAGAGCATTTGAGAACTGTTCTAAAATAAATGCCGAATGCCGCTTTCTTGGTTCAGAGACGGCGCAATCTTTCATCAGCTCCCATACACGGCTGTGTATTGTCGTCTCCTCAAGACATATCCTTGATAGGGTGCATTCGTTAGGATGACGGGTCCATGCCTACAAACTTGAACATCAGTTCGACGCGACTTAAGGGGAGAGTGGAAGTCTTGCTGCTAGGAAAGAAGCTATCATATCCTTGATTTCATCGGTCATCTCACGGAGGTAAGTTCGAAAGGCCCCGCGTTTGGTAAACTGTCTATATCCACCGAAGTCTCGCTTTGCAGCTAGCATTTTTTCTTTGACAATTTTAAGGGATCTGAAACGAGAAGTAAGCGATAGCTATCTTTAAGATGAAGACGGTACATGCACTTGGATACAGGAGTTGTCTGTATATGACCTTGGGCACCCAAGCAGGGATATAAGAGTGAGAATGCGGTTTGAAATCGGTAATAGCGACTTGACGATGTCTTCCGGGGTAGTAACACGCCGTATCGTGAGCTTTTAAAAGTATCACGATGAGAACAATAGTCGGCTTAACAGTAACAACTCACTAATAATGATTGGAACATGGTCATTAGTTGGACAATAAGAAAACCACGGGGCGCGGCGGTCAGTGTTGCGATATAAGTCATCTTGAGTACAACAGGCAGAGCACTTTCTTGAACCATGCCGCCTTTTTGAATAGGTGTCGGACTCGTAGAGAGCTGCCAGATGACCATCATAAACATCTTAAAACGACCGGACGAAAGCTAAGCGTTAAATGCGGGGTTGATACCCACTTAGTGACCATGGGCATCACGGAGATGGGTCAGGTGGTGGAGCAGACAGGACAACAATACATTCGCTTATTCCGTTACTGTATTAGGACGAGCGCCTCGACTGTCAGAGCTATTTTGATATAAACAACGTAGACGCAAATGATCTGAAAGGATACCACCATTCTGGGGACTGATACACCTGTAAATGCAGGGATTAGCAATTTAGCAAGTACACATGTCCACAAGAACGGAATATTTCATGAGGACCCACAAAGACTTGTTACTATGCATGCCGGCATCAGTTTGAGTGCAACGGTTTCAAGTCGGCAGCTGATACATTGCGGATGAGCAGAGGCACTGCGTCTTGCATATATAAGGCAACGGACTTGCATAGCAACAGCGCGCAACCCAAAGAAATCCAGATACTCAGGGGGTATTTCGTGTTTGGAGTGCACAGTTAGGCTGATAATACGGGCACGGTGGGTATCGAGACGGCTAGGTAGCACAGCATCGTCGAAAGGATCGGCGTTGAAGCTGTCGCATCAGAAACCTGGGCTGTGCTGCTGGAAACTGAGGCCAATCCACGTATCAGTATATATAGGAAAGAGAAGGAAGTCAAGACGCGTACTGCCATGCTCTGACTTCCAAGTATATGCAATGACTGCCTCCAGTACATGACCTGCCAATTCATCTCCGTGTGTCGAGATCGGTACCAGTCCGGTCAGAATGCGCTTCCGATGCAGACGGCCCCTTGAACCGCTCAGGGTACCGAGAAAGGTGGATATTTGTTTCAAGGAGTTTGTATCTTATACGATATCGTATGACTCGATCGACGGCCCAGCAGTAGTTGTATTTATGACGCAGTGCAGTGATCTCATAGCCCTATAGTACGAGCAAATGTTTCTTACGTGCAGTACTTATAGGAAATCCTAGTTGGAATTACCGATGAAGACGCATGATTGGTGGAAAGAATGCCGGTGAAAGTCGTCACGAAAGAACAGTGATACGGCGTACTTGGTCTTTCCCGAAACCATAGTTTCAAGAGTAATGCCAGTTATAGAGATGTGGAAAGCGACGAAGGTACGCTATTTACGAGTGCTCACAATATGCGGCAAGCATGAGACTGTCAATAGGATGATCACTTCGGAGGAAGAAAGCCGGACTCTTTCTTTACAGTACACAGATGATTTAACAGAACTAAGCTTGCAGCTGCCCAGATTAAATAAAGTATACAGGCAGAGGCTGAAGTAAGAGAAAATAGTAGTCAGAAGAAAGTCGGGCCGAGTTAACCGAGCGAGCAAATAAGCGCCAACACAGATCTTCGTCGATAAGTATTGAGCCCCGGGTTTCTTCGTGTCTTGCCTCTACGCGACATGCTCATTCGTCTCTTAGGAATCCTGGTCACTATTCTTCGAGGAGATTGAAGGCAGTGGAGGCCATATATACTCAAGATTCGGATGGTGGGGAGCATATATTAGCAACGCTTTCGCCATGTTCGACTCAACGTCTTGAGTGACGCAAAAACGTACGTCGCTTTCTGTCTCTCGATACATGTACTTCATTTTTCGTGCAGAAGATAAAGAATGCTGTCACTAGCCTTTTCTCTGTCCATTTTTCCGTGGCAAGGGTTCTGCAACAACGATTTATTCCTCATCATCGTCGCTGTTAGCGTCTTGCTCGTGCAGACCGCGACAAAGGTGCCTGAAAGGGCCGACGGTGTCATCCACACGATGGCGACTGTATGACGAATCCATGACGTATTGTACCTGCTAATCACGCGCCAAAGTGCCAATCCCCCGCCCATTGTCCGCGCACGGACCACCCGATGAGTATAAAAGGGTACCATCTCCTGAAACCCCCCAAATCGGTTCCTCCCTTCCTTCTACCATCGATCTCACACCTATCAGCCATCGCGCGAGCATAGGGTTGACTTTCCTTCCTCCATTCTTTTCGCTACTGTGCCTGTTACTCATCGCTGCCGGCGACGACCACACTCGACTTGCTTCATTTCAGATCGAACTCCGGTACAAAATGCTACAGATGGCTCCGGTGAAGCTCAAGTGGTGCTGTCATTCACTATGAGCAATACCAAACCAGGAAACACCAAATTCCGAGAAATTATTCCCACTGCATAGAATGGACTTGCAGTTCGCTCAGGATCCACAGATGCGAGTGGACCTGCTAGCCTCGATGCGCCAGCAGTCGTTGATACATCCATTGAAGGTCGTCGATCTGTGTGGAGTGTTGTCCAGGCGACTTCAACCGGAGTGAAGGCTCGACAACGTGGCTCCGGAAGATACACTGCTACTCCAGTCTTCCTCAACTAATACGCTCCCACCTGCTCCTGGTGTAGTTACTGTTGACACTTTCCTGGCCCAGCGTTCCGTGGCCTCTGATCCGGGACTCGCTACACTAGAACAGTCGTTGAATGAACGTAATACTTTATCACCCAAAACTCCTAGCTCTAGAAGCTCATTGAGAAACAACTCTCGGGATACAATCAAATGAAGGAGCTGGAGTGCGTACGAGGCGAACATGATTGGTACAAAAGCAGGTTAGCTGCTGTTCACAACTCCCCTTATAGCGACTGGCGGCATCGAAACCATGACAGCCCACCAGCCTGCCCCAGCACCGTCGGGAAGTCTTATTCCTTCCAGCGAAGGCGGGTCGTTGAATGAAGAACATACGTCTGATACAAAGCTCAGTACGCACAAGCAATGTCGTCTGCCCTTTCTTCTGGCATTTTGGATCTGAACATCCTAAAAACCTGCTCTCAATTCGTCACACCAAGTCTGGTCAGGTGTATGCCAGTGCTCTCATCTGGCTCTTCGAAGATGAATACTCGACGTTCATCAGTGTTTACACGATTCCCTTGTCCAGGCGGTTCTCGGAAATTCAACTCTTAGTTCTGCGTACGCCATGAGAATCAACACGCAGTGGCGTTGGGGATTGTGTCTGAGATATCAAAGGGATGCGCATGCATTACTGGTCGTTCAAAACTCGCGAAGTCGACTTGTTTCGATCTTTCATTCGGTTCTTCGGGTGCATTCGGGCCGACCGCCTGCGTGTCTTTCGCACCTACGCGATCAACGTCGCGGCAATTGTCATCTATTAATAATGCGTGAATAATAGGAACGCTCGCCTGATTAATGCGCCGGTTCTACACGATCACATTGACCAATGAGATGGTGCTTTATTTCGCATTTCGCATCGTCCCGCGTTGGCCTCACTGTTCCACGACGACTGTCAGTCGCAACAAGTGACCCATGCCTGACTAAAGAAGCTCTGGTGCCTATTCCACCTGCCGATGCCATACGCATACTCGGGGTGACGGAGTTTCAGGTCCCACAGCTATATTCGTGACTGAATAACTACTATGAATAAAAGGCCGACACATCGAAGGGTCCTCTAATATCACACCGCCATGTCTTCATATGTCGATCTCGGTATTCCATTTTCTCAGTCAATCGTGACTGTCAAAGCCATGAACGTTGGTGCTCCTTCAACGATCCTCCCTGCAGCCCATTTCCTCGAGCCAGTTCTTCCGGGTTACGAAACAATGACGGCGCCTATCTACGCTTGCTTTATTGAGCATAAGGCTACGGGGAAACGTCTCATGTTCGATTTGGGATTGCGCAAAGACCAGGAGAGTTTCCCCCCTGCGATTCAGCAATTGCTGACGTTGTGGAAAACTCACGGCTTTGGGATGTCTGTTGATATGGACGTTTTCCAGAAACTTCAGGAGGGCGGGATCGACCCAGCGACTATCAATACAGTCATTTGGAGGTAAATGTCTTTGTTGTTTGACTGCGAGTATAGCTCATTCTCGTTCAATTTTCTCAGCCATAGTCATCTGGATCACACTGGTATTGTCGTTTAACTTGATCACCAAAGCTCATCAGTTAACAGAATTCACAGGCGACATGTCGAAGTTTCCGAGCACCACGGAACTTGTCATTGGTCCTGGCCTGGATACTCATACTTTCCCTACCACTCCAGAGTCTCCCCTCCTCGAGACGGATTTTGCGTCAGTATACTTATTTCTGCATGTTGTATATGACGAATAACGACCACCTCACTATAGAGGCCGCAAAGTGACACAACTCGCGGTTAAAGATTTCGCGCTTACTATCGGGGAATACGAAGCCTTCGATTACTTCTCCGATGGCAGTTTGTACATTCTCAATTCTCCGGGGGTGAGTGCTTTCAAGAACGTGATCTGGGAAGTACTTATCATGGATCAAAGCATCAACCCGGACACATTGCTGCCCTCGCCCGAGTCACTCCGACGTCATTCGTGCTACTAGGTGGTGATTCTTGCCACCATCCCGGCCAGCTCCGCCCTACAGCTTACCTCCATAAGGACTTCCTCTGCCCTGGGCGTATTCTCGAGTCCCTAGGAGACGCTTCTGTCTCCTCGCGTACCACTCCTCTCCTCTCTGTTCCGTCTGGAAAATCGGCCTATGCTGATCCGGAGACTGCCAGTGAAACAATCACCAAACTAGGCAAGCTTGACGCGAGCCCAGATATTCTGGTTTTGATTGCGCATGACTGTACGGCACCCGGCGTCATTGATGAGTTCCCTGAAAGCATGAATGATTGGAAGGAGAAGGGGTGGAAGGAGAAGTTGATGTGGGCATTTTTAGAGAAGGAAAGCCCGGCCTATAGGTTTGGAAAGAACTGAGGTTTTTTTTGTGTAATGAGTAGAGGTCGGAGTATTATTTATCCTTAGCTTCTTGCAGTCTAACGCATCACCCAACTTAATCTTCTTGATGATCTTATGATTGTTTGCGTCCGCTATCGATACCCTTTTGGAAATCTGGGGTTGCTTATCAACTTAGATTTTCATGGGCTTGAGCCTAGCCCCTTCCGACAGGACTCAAGTGGATGCCTGTCGTTGTATCGACAAGGATTCTGACAGAAGATCACTCTCGAGTCTCGACTCTCAGAGTCATGAGGAGAGGATCGTAAGAGATGATTCAAATTTTCCATGAAACAGGGTGCGGCAGCATTTGATTCTTGGTCCATTTGCGACTTTCAATTCTCCGTTGACGTTGAAGCTACGTCAGGAAGAAGATCTGGTAGCCAATAATATCGATTTGATCAAACTCTGTTCCGAATTCCGAACCCTAACCCCAGTTCCAGAGCTTACATTTCATTTCAAACTCTCATCATCGTCAGCAGGCACTTTCCTTTCCCCCCTCTTCTCATTGCCTTCGGTGGGCCAAAGGTGGTGTATAATAGCTTTCTTGGTAAGATAAACGTCTACGGCGGCGGTACTCAGGCTGATGTTGCCCTATATAGGTTGCTTCCCTGTCCTGCTGGCCTCTATCGTTTTGGGGGGGCGTTTACACACTATCTAATTGCCCACGGATCTCGTAATATTTATATATCAACCCAGTAGACCAAGCGGATACCACTCCCGTCGTCAGTTACAGGGTACCGCCATCCGTTGTCGTCTAATCGCGACGAACGTGGAAGGAATCCATCTTATTATAACCGGCAGCTGCAGACGGACTCGGATTTAATTGCCACGGACCTTTTTTCGTGCGTTTTTACTTTAACTGCGATTTCGGGATCGAATAGCTGATTAGAGCTACAGGATTGTTTATATTGTTTGGCATGGAAGACGCCTACGATTCAGGGCCAGCTTACTCGGGATTCATGGAGAACCAACCTACGAGGGCGACGTTGTACATGCCTATAGCGTCGCCGCCGACACCAGCACCATCGCCTGGACCACCGAACGTTGCAATGTCCTTGTCACCATTTCCACAAACGCCGACTCTCCGCCGTCAGTACATATCTGCGCTCCTTTCTACTTGCACCCCGACAGAACTACTGTATATCTCCACGACGATAGCGCCTTTGCTCAAACGCGATTTCCTCTATTCCCTCCCAACGGAGCTAGCGCTACATATCTTGAGCTGGGTGGACGACCCCAAGACGCTGGCAAGGGCTTCGCAAGTGAGCCGGCATTGGAGGAAGCTGGTGGAGGACGAGGGTGTGTGGAGGAGGATGTGTAGGCTTTGGGAGTTTGGTTCCCCGGTGCAGAGAGTGATACGGGATGTTGGGGATGAGGAGGAGGAATTTTGGAGGCAGGGAAAGAGAAAGCACAGACACCATTCCAGCGCATCGTCGTCTTCCTCCTTCGCCTATTTTCTTTCCTACAGATCGCATTTCAAGCACTCGTACTCGACTAGTGAGCTCGTTCCTCTCCATGTCTGCCACAATTGCTAACAAATGTTCCAGTGATGAATTGGCGCTACAGCGGCCGTCTGCTTCGTGCCCACCGTGTGCCGGTAGTCAACCCAACGAATGGCGTTATCACCTCCATCGCTTTGGATGATGATTGGGTGGTGGTGGGACTTGCAAATTCGCGAATACACGTTTTTAGCGCCCGTACGGGTGTCTTGGCTCGGACGCTTGTGGGCCACGAATCCGGCGTCTGGGGAGTATGTCTCGTCAGTTGCGGAGGGAAAAGGAGGAAGAAGGAATCGGGAAGCATGGCTATGGAGGAGGATGGTGAGGAGTGGAATATTCCTCATTCGCTACGAGTCGCCCTCGGTTTAGAAGGTTTAGACGAGGACGAAGATGATGACGACGACACTGAGAACCCGCACTTTGGGGTCTGTGGTGCGTCGGAAGGATGGGGCCAGCCGAATTCGCTCGTCGTCAGCGGGGGCTGCGACAAAGTGATACGGGTCTGGGATGCAAAGTCGGGATACTGCATATACGTCTTGCATGGTCATACATCGACGATTCGGTGCATCAAGATGCTGCAGAATCGACCGATTGCAGTGAGTGGATCTCGGGATTCGACGCTGCGTGTGTGGGATGTGCAGAGGGGGAAGATGCTGAGAGTGTTGGGTGGGCATCATGATAGCGTGAGGTGTCTGGATGTCTATGGGAATAGGGCCGTCAGTGGGAGCTATGATCATACTTGCCGGGTTCGTTCGGCCTCTCTTTATTGTGCTTGTTCTGATGGATATCTAGGTATGGAATGTCGATACGGGCCGGTGCATCCATGTCTTGCGAGGACACTATCATCAGATATATTCCGTCGCGTTTGACGGGGTACGTATAGCCTCTGGGGGTCTAGATACCACTGTTCGAGTTTGGGATGCCGAGACTGGGTACGTTCACCGCACGTCGATTGACAATGACTGATATATTCCCTCCAGCGTCTGCATTGCTATGCTTCAAGGACACACGGCGCTTGTCTGCCAGCTCCAGCTGTCGCCTACGATCCTCGCAACGGGTGGGTCTGACGGACGAGTGATTACTTTTTCACTGTCATCATACAACGTTCTGCACCGTATCGCTGCGCACGACTCTAGCGTGACAAGTTTGCAGTTTGATGGGCGGTGGTTGGTGACAGGTGGAAACGACGGGAGGGTGAAGTTGTTTGAGACTGATACGGGGCTCCATGTGAGGGATTTGACTGAGGCTAGTGAGAGTGTGTGGAAGGTGGCGTATGGGAGGGATAGGGAGACCCTTGCGGTTATGTGCCGTAGGGCGGGGAAGACGGTAATGGAGATTTGGAGTATGAAGCCTGGAGAGGACATTTAGATTTGTTGCAACTGTTGTTTTTATGGTTTTCCTGTTGGTATCGTAGTTTAATGGTTGTTATAATATACACATTGCGAATACATTCTTTTCAGTCTTCACTTCGTTGTAGTATCAAATACAGAGCGAGAGCCAAAGGTGGGGGAATAGAGCCCCTCTGTCAATAGAGTTTGGATCTGGTATTGGGTGGATAAGCTCCGGGTAACAAGCGTAAGAAACTACAGGCTACTATCACATTTGAAGCGATCAACATCTTTCGTCATTGCGATATCTGCATAGCTATGACTATGCCACTTTATTAGTGATCCCTGTCATAAATAACCCGAAATAAACGGTTTCTAGCACACCACAGTCATGCCACCGAGTCGGCGACCTTCTCGTCGCATCTCTCTCGTCTAGCTGCTCAAGGTTTCAATTCGCATCGGAAATAATTTCAAGGATCGGTTATTGTAGGACGTGCCTGATCGCCTTCTCGTCCATTGCTTCTAGAGCAATTTTATAATCCGTTGCGTCCTCAGTGTCTTGGTTCGATGGCATCTGGATGGTAATTTCACACCGCCACCACCACCACCAACATTCAAGATTTGTCCATGATCATTAATGCACTGTCTCTCAGTCACTGGATAATGGTCCAATATTTCCAATAGTAACGAAGGACGGACCTGAGACAAGACAGACAATTAAAATCAGTCGATCGGCGTGGCATTTACAGAGTACAATCGCGATCACGTGTGTCAGGCATACAGATTTCGTGTAATATAAAATTTGTCGTTGCGCACGGACTGTTCATCTTTAACCTACACCTCACTCTACTACGTGTTGCTGTGCAGCTCCAGTGACATCTCTTCATTGAGTTTTCCATTTATTTTCTACTCAGGTTAATCTTCTCTCTGTTCAGGAAACACTAACCCCAGCTTAGAATTGCAAGATGCCGTCGACAAGTAACAAAAATGTATGTATAATTTCCACTCAGCGTTTCTCTGTCGTTCATACGACTTATGGTGCTTTATAGACGAAAACAACGGCTGGTCCGGGTCCAGCACGCACTAAAAAGACGAAACAAACGATGGTAGATCCAATTGCAGGTGGGTACAGGATGACTATCGGTAACATACCAAAACCTGAAGATAAATCTAAGTATGTCCCCGTGTTCCTTCTGCCCTCGACACAAACCTTATTGATTCTTCAGGTTCCCTACAATGTCGACTGACCCTAGCCGTCCCTTCAGGTGTTCATGTTGTCAGTGTGATATGTATTTTGACACGGTAAAGGAAGGAGTAGCCCACGCAGCGACGCATGCGAGGTTTTTGAGTGGACTTGTCTGCCCGCTTAAGACGTGCTCGTTCACGACGGACAATCTGCCGCATTTGTATTCTCATGTCAGGAGCTCAAAACATAAAGGTTTCATGGAGAAGCTTTTGTGTCTCGGCTGTTCAAGAGCCTACGATCGCCCAGAAAGCCTCAAAAAACATATTGATAAATCGCACGACGTTCATTGCGTGTCGCAAACTTCTCCTTATTACTTTCCTGCTCCTTAGATTGTATCTCACTCGATTTTTTTTAGATTTCGTTATATTCAGGTCTGATTTACTGGACTTCTATGAGTGTAACCTATGATCGCCCGTTTTCGCCTTTGGGACAGGTTCTTACACAGAATATTTTAAGTCCTGTTATATGGCGTGCCGACCGCAGAACTAATACAATCACTCTTTTTTCTGTCTAATTAACCTCTGAAGGACGTCATACTTAGATTATGACGCGTCATATGTAGAATTTGCAATTCTTGGCCCGGTTAGGTATTGCACACAAGTCACGAATACCGCAAGTATCTATCGAGCTGCCAAGCTAGGTACGCCTAGATTATATTCAGAGGTCTCGTGAGGTTCCGCAAGATTTCGCGAGAGCGGGCCGTCGCATCAGACCCCATAAACTCTCGGGAGATATCGTGAAATATACTGAGGATGTGTATTTGATGGGGATGGGGAGTCATCGGAGTAGTTATCGTCGTCATGGACGGTGGATGACGATGTTGGAGGAAAATTGTACTTCATTATCGTAATTGTATTTCCCGTGTCGAAACTGGCAGTTGGAGGGTGGTAGAACTATTGGGAACCTGAGGCGCGCAGCAGCGAAAGTATAGTGAACATGATGGATGGTATGATTTCCGCGAAGAGAGATGACTATCGGTTGTTTTTAAAAAAATCACCGTTTCCCTGCAAACGGCATAGAAAGTTGATGGAGCGCTAGCGATATCGCGGACGCAAGCATTCCCATCACTGGTCATCGCGGCAGGATGAACTTGTTTTGCGGGTTTCCTTTGCGGATCAGTATCATTGGTTCATACAATGTGACAGAGATATATCAATCAGCGTAGTGAACAAACAAGTTGAGATAGAGCAGATTTCTATCAATTACCTGCTGTGTAGCACGTACACAGGGGATGCTACTTGATGCCGGGAGCCATATTCCAAGGAAACCAATATGTTTAAAGAGCGGGGCATCAGGTGATGTCTATGCTACATTCCTGTGTATACCGAAAAGACATCACCCTCGAATCAGACGGTCTCGATCCAAATTCAAGGCGTCTCGATAGCAGTAGCTTGCCCGGTAGTCAGAGGCACTAAGTATGAGTCTTTACATGTACGAACTTGATTTCGGCAAGAGTTAGGACTGAAAGAGTACTGCGATTTTAACGTAGGGGAAGTGTTCGTGCAATGTCGTTGTAGGCTACCATCAATCACTGGTCAGAAATTGGAAAAGCGCCCGGTGGCTGTACGAGGTGCCAGGTCCCGTCCACGTGACCCAAATTGCCTGCGTGTTACGCAGCGCAGCGTCTCCTGCCTTTTCCGTTCACCTTTCCTTCCACCACCATGATTCTGCGACAGCCGGTCGCATACCTTTTTCTCTCCTTATTTGCGCTTCTTGCGCTCTCTGTGCTAGCTGCCGACCCAACACATTCGATAACCTCCTTCCAAAACCTCCCAGGACGACTGTTTTTCTTCGATGATACTGAGGTATGTATGCAGTCTCGTGGCGCGAGGATGGCGACTGACGATAAGCGTTATTTTGTATAGACTGCAATATATTTCGACCCGGTGGACGGAAATGTGTACGTTACACAGGACGAAGGCAAGTCGTGGCATATAGCCAGCGACATACCCAAGGGAGATGCGACAATGGTCATCGAGCACCCTTTTGACAACCAATATGTAAGTATAATTACATTGCTATATCGGTAGCGAAGGAAAATTTGCTCACGTTGCGTGAAGGCCTTCGTATTGACTCGCGGGACGCGACACTACCGTACGGAAGACAGAGGCAAGACATGGCGAGCCTTTGATATGCCCATTCCGCCAGCGCTTGTCTATAAGCCGCTTTCCTTCCATTCTGATCCCAAGAAATACGGATATATTTTGTACCAAGGAACTTCCTGCGAAAGGATAGGGTGGGGGAACGTTTGTCATGACGAGGTATGCAATTTTTGCTTTGTTTTGATGGTTTATTAACTGCTATACAGACTTATTATACAAAAGAGGCCTTCAGTGATGAGCCAAAGCTCTTACTTATCGAGACTTCCCGATGCCAGTTTGCCCACAGCACCGCCGATTTCAAGCACGAAGCCCCCCCCGACCTCATCTACTGCGTAGCGTTCGATTCTTCATCTCTCAGTGGCTCCCATACACTCTCCTCCAGTAGACTCTTCTCAAGTACCGACTTTTTCAAGGACGACATACGCGTAGAGGAGATGGGCATCGGCAAGAATGCCAAGGGTGTCATTGCGTTTGCCATCGTGTCCAAGTTCGCGGTTGTGGCTCTTAAAGACCTTTCTTCTGGAAGCAACGGGGACATGCTGCTGTACGTCACCGTGGATACCAAGACGTGGGCAAAAGCGCAGTTCCCGCATGCGTCATCAGCACAACTGAGGGAAAACGCATACACGATCGTTGAGTCTACGACACATTCTCTGGCGATTGATGTTGTATTGCAGGATCAAGGAAGAATCGGGACGCTCTTCGTGAGCAACTCAAACGGAACATTCTTTGTAGAGAGCTTGAAGGACACGAACCGGAACGAGGCGGGATTCGTCGATTATGAGCGGCTGTACGGTGTTGAAGGTGTTGGTCTTGCCAACATTGTCTCCAATGCAGACGTCGTGGAGGGCAGCGGTGCGAAGAAGTTGCTCAAGACGCTTATCACATTTGACGACGGCCGTTCGTGGGCCCCCGTTCGAGCTCCATCGACCAATGTCGATGGTCAAAGTGTTAGTTGCAATACGGGTGATACCGGTAGATGCTCGCTTCACCTGCACTCCGTCACTACCCCTCACAACTTTGGTCGCATCTTCTCATCTCCTGCGCCAGGACTCATGATGGGTGTTGGAAGCATTGGAGAGACGCTGAAGGACTATGAGGACTGTGACACCTTCATCAGCACAGATGCCGGTGTGAACTGGAAGATGGTTCGTCACGACGCCCAAAAATACGAGTTCGGTGATTCCGGAAGCGTAATAGTTGCCGTAAACGACGAAGATGGGATAGATTCAGTTTCTTATTCTACTGATTTCGGACAGACTTGGTAAGCGGCCCGTCGTTTGTTGTTGCACTGTGATCATATCACCATGCAGGAAGGAGTACAACTTTGGTGTTCGACTTCGGGCGCGCGCGCTGACGACTGTTCCGGATTCGACCTCACAAAAGTTCCTTCTTGTCGGTCAAGTTGCGAGGAAGGACCAGAGTCAGAGTATCGGTCGATTCGTGGTTGTCTTCCTTGACTTTGCAAATACACGTTTGAGAAAGTGCGAGGCGGGTGACTTCGAAGAGTGGTATGCTAGGCCTGCACAAAGCGAGTGCCTGATGGGACACAAGGTATGATTATCTCGTATCGCTTTCAAAGCCCTCGTCGATTGATGTCTGGTCATAGCAATGGTACAAGCGGAGAAAGATGGATGCGGACTGTTATGTCGGGGAGAAGTTCACGGATCCCGTCGAACATGAGGAGGACTGCGCTTGTGTGGATGCCGATTACGAGTGGTACGCGGTTTCTTACTTGCTATCGTTAGCTAGGCCCAACTCATATCTGGTTCAGCGACTTCAATTTTGTGCGCAATGGCGACCAATGCGTGCCGACGGGTCCTGAACCTATTTCTGCCGGTACTTGTCCTAGACCAAACATGACGTACAAGGGTTCGTCTGGTTGGAGGAAGATCCCCGGAAATACGTGTACAGGCGGTACGAAGGATGCCCCGATTGATAAACCATGTTCTTCTGGTATGCAATCCTCTACTATTTCTCTGGACGTCGCTGAGTGCAATATGATATAGCTCAACCCCAGGAGGGTGAAGTCATCCATCAGACAGTACGTCTCCTTTTGCATCGCGGGTCTGATCTTTACTCATGAATGTTCAGTTTGAATTCCCTGCAGCCATCGTCCAACACTCGTACTTCAAAGACTCTACGGTATGTAGGCTCCAGCTATTTTCCATGCAGCTACTCATTTGCTTCCGCAGACGATCCTCGTAAGGCTGGAAGATAACTCAATCTGGCAGTCAAGCAACGAGGGCTACACATGGAATCATTTGTTTCCTGAGGAGTCATTCTTGGCGTTCTACCACCACCCATACAGCTCAGATCGCGCTTATCTTATCACAAGCGGTACTAAATACTACACTACTACCGATACAGGACGGACTTGGAACCCTCTCTCTGCACCGACACCACCCAATACCTTCCGTGCCCAGGTCCTCCGTTTCCACCCTGATTCAGACAAACTCATCTGGATTGGGAACAAGAACTGCGACAACATCTTCGACGACTGTCATGCCGAAGCACAATATACTCGTGATAACGGACGTAACTGGTATTTCGTGGAGAACTATGTTGTCAACTGCGCCTGGGCGATTGATACGAAGCTTAATGCTGACCCGACGGAGATTCTCTGCGAGTCCTACCAGAAGAAGGGAGGATCGCAGAGGTTTTTCCAGAATGATAACCCTCTAGAGTTGGTTGAGGGGCAGCAGTACTTCAAGAAGAAGAAGAAACTGTTTAACGAGGTCGTAGGGTTTGCTAAGTTTTCAGAGTTCTTGGTCGTAGCTGAGGTAAGCCCTTCGAAGCGATGTTTTGCGATGATTTAGACTGATCATCCTGTAGTTGTTACCTGCTCGGCATTCCTTGGATCTTCAAGTATCTCTTGATGGTGTCAACTTTGCCACCGGGCTGTTCCCACCGAGTATGCACCCGGAGGCGCATGTACGTGCACATTAGCGAGTACCATTTTTCTTATTGCTAACCTTTGATCTAGGCTTACACTGTCCTGGAATCCTCGACCGGATCTCTCTTCCTGCACATGACGATGTCCGAGCCCCCTAGTCCGTACTGGGGTACTATCCTGAAATCCAACTCTAATGGAACATACTTTGGAATCGCTCTGGAAAATGTGAACCGCGATGATCGTGGATTCGTCGATTTCGAAAAGATGATTGGTCTCGATGGGATTGCCCTCGTCAATGTGGTGTCCAACCCAGGGGATGCGACTGTCCATGGCAGGAAGGAGCTACAGTCGAGGATCACTCATAACGATGGTACGTGATGGTGGCAACATGACGGTGTAATCGCTCACGGTGCTCGTTGTAGGGAGCACCTGGAAACCACTGCCTCCTCCGCCGTTGGATTCGCAAGGAAATAAATACGGATGTGACACGACCGTATATTTGTTTCTCTTGTTCGGTGTTTTTATTGTCGCTCATACACTGATCTAGAATTGCGCTCTTCATGTGCACGGGTATACGGAACGCAGAGATCCACGGGCGACGTACAGCAGCCCTTCCATTGTAGGACTAATCATGGCGGTTGGCAACGTTGGAGAATTGCTCGCACCATATACCCAGAGTGACACCTTCCTCAGTCGGGATGCCGGATTCAGTTGGGAGGAGGTTCACAAGGATGCGCATCTCTGGGAGTTTGGCGATTCTGGGTCTATTCTGATTATGGCAAATGACGAGGAGCCTACGGATCATGTGTTGTTCAGTACTGACGAGGGCAAGAACTGGAGGGAGTACCGGTTCACGCAGGATAAGATGAGAGTGACGTCGATTGTTACTGTTCCTGCCGATACGAGTCGAAGGTTCATTCTCTTGGCGCAGTATCCGCGCTCGTTGAATTCGGTTGCAGTGCATCTTGACTTCAGTGCGTTGACGAGGAAGCCTTGTAAGTTTTTCTACTTATTAATATGGTAGTGACTAACGTGACTTTTAGGTGAACTGAGCGTCGAGGATCCAGGGCACGATGACTTTGAGCTCTGGAGCCCAAGCCAAGAAAGGTCAGAGAGGTGCTTGTTCGGTCGTCAGGTAGGAAAGAATCTTGCTCTTGCTTTTAGAACTGCTGATGACGATTCTGTCAGACACTGTACCACCGCAGAGTACGCGAGACAAACTGTGTAGTGGGTGATCAGCCCAAGGCCGCCGTTCGGGTGGTCAACAACTGTCCGTGCACGCAGGCTGATTTCGAGTGGTCAGTTATATATTCCCATCTCTCTATGCTTTTCTCATGCCCTGCGTAGTGAATTCAACTACGCCAAGAATGTCAACGATGAATGTGTATTGGTGCCCGGAACGACGCCTCTCCCTGACGATGACTCGTGCAAAAATGACGAGGAGTTTTGGTATGAAAGGACTGCGTACCGGAAGATTCCTTACTCGAGCTGTGAGAATGGGATCAGACCGGATCGCGGAACGAGGCATTCATGTCCTGGGTTCAGAGCACATGGACCTCTCTTCTGGTGGTTCGTCATCCTGATTCCGTTCATGTTCACCGCACTTGTTGGATACTGGTACTACCGACGAAGCGGGATGGCGAGAGGGTGTGTTCATCCTTTCCTCTTCTATTGTCTGATTGCTTACTCTGGGGGTTTTGTAGACACATCCGACTTCCTGGAGATGGCGGACCGTATTACGGTGGGAGCAACGGGGGCGTTATGGAAACCCTCGCGTCTGTTCCCTGGTTCGTCATTGGTGTTGCGGGGATCGCATGGGAGTGGATCGTCTCGCATGTCGAGTCGGCGGGTGCTAGCCTCCGTACGCGGAGAGGCTATAGGAATATTCCTGTTGATGAGGATGCGCAGATTCTGAGGTTTGAAGATGAAAATTGAAATGCAAGAGACTGTTATTCCGGTGTAGGCTTAGAATATGCTTTCTTTTTATTTATTTAGTACACTACTAGTCAGTATGCAAGTTGTATCATACTATGGCCTGATGAGTATATGAAGTGTTTACTAGTAGTTCGGTCGCAATATCCACGCATTTAGTTAATACACTTCATACACAACTAGTTGCTTGATAGGCATTAGGTTCTGTAGATGTGTTGCGACGAGGTAATAGGTAGATGATATCTTCGTATAGGATTTACATCCGGCAAGAAAGTGGTTAAGCATTGATTTTAAATGGCACTCAAGAATACACACTCGGACCGCAAGCATTTCTTTCACCTGCTTCCGTTAAAACAAGGCAACCATTCATCCAAAGCCAGCTGAAATAATCCCAATCCAGTGAAAAACTGCTCTTGGGAAATTGGGCTGTAAAATCCGATAGTTTTGAAATCTGAATGGTTGCTGTCCGGTACAAGAAGCACTCGCATGTCGGAAACGTGAACCATGTTCGCGTAGGTGAGTCCGAAAAATGAGTTTCCTTCGGCAGGTGTATTGCACCTGATAAGGTGTTAGACGAAACGAAAGGTTCAATCATATTGACACTCAAGCGGGTACAATAGGCGATGGAGTGCGCATAGGAGCATTATCTTCAATTGACGCTAGACCCATGGTTCGCCAGGGATCAACTGACAATGACGTGAACCAGAGCGGAAGAGAAAAGAAGTGCAAAGATGCCTACATTCCCCGTTCGTGAACATAACATTTGATGGCTTCATATCCCACCCTCCGTACTTGTTGATATTACCGACCTCCGGCCAGCTTGGCAGACTATCCGGGAAGGTCTCGTCACATTGCCGCTGGAACAGGTCAAGCGACAAGAGCGACGTCTCTATGGACAGAGGGTTCGATGCGTCGCCTCGTTGGTAAAACCCTGACGCTGAAGTTATAGAGTAGTTATATGAAAAGCAACAGACGTACCGTACTCAGAGCAATACTGCCTCATCCACGCCAGATCTGTGGCTGGGTCGTCAGGACTCCCAGGAATCTCATCGTAATCAAGTTCGCTCAATGCTACAAGATAGGCATCGAACGCCGAAGAGATACCATCGACCGAAAAAATCCCGCCTTCTTCCGGTGCTTGAGTAAAATTCCTGGTCTCAAGAAGGTTGCAGAAGGGCAGGAGGGATGCTGCGAAACCGTAATACTGTGGATGTTGTTAGGCCCAGAAAGGAGGAAGAAGCGGGAACTGACCTGGTAGAAATCCAAAGGGTCCATGAGGATTGACGCGACAGATACGTCTGATCGCGCATTGGCTTGCGCCTTGGTAAGACCAACCGCGCCTGTAGTGTTACCTCCCGGACCACTGAGGCGAGCTTTCACGAGACGGAATTTGACGTCTTCTTTCAGTCCTATGTTGTCTCCCTTGAGGACGTCGTCAACATATCTGAATCTTGCTCAGCATACATTCAACAGGAACAAGGAAAAAGAGTACCGAGTAACAGCGACCCAATCAGCGGAGCAATTTCTGGTGAGGCTACGCTCTGCCGCCTTATAGTAGCTAGCCATATCGACTTGAGCATGAACAGGAGCAGACGACGCCCACGTAGCAAATATGGTCTCTGGATTTCGAATTCGGAGGAGAGCGCCTCGTACGCCGGGGTATGAACCGCCCAGAAACACCCATGGTGCGACGCTAGGATGTAATGGGAGAGACAGAGGATCATCCAGCGTTGCATTGACGCCAGAAGAGCTGAAAGAATTCGCGAAGAACACGACATCTTCGAGAGCCTGCTCAGTAGTGAGGAATTTCCATTCTGATGCAGTTGTATTTTCCTGTTCCGTTTGTTAGAGATGCGACAGGTAGATATTACATCGTACCGACATACATTAACAGGAAACGGCTGCGAGTCGCCATAATATCGATGCTCCCATAGTATTGCTAGTCCACCATATCGCTTGGCGAGGCGCATTGTAGCTGAGAGACCATGATATTCCTGTGGTTGAAATTTTCACGATTAGTTCGAAACCAGGTTGCCAGATTATAATAATCGAGTACTTGAAGGTAATATGGAAGAAGAGGAGCAGCGTTTTGTTCTCCAGAATCGAATACTGTATTGAGTTATTGAGTCAGTATTGATAAGGACTCTCATGTATCGGATCAGCGTACAGAGAACCGGCCCTCCGGGAACGTAGTAAGAAGCATTAACCCAGTAGCGGTTCAGAAATGTCGACGAGTTGTCGCTCCCAAAGTGGTCGAGTGGAACCTGGGCATAATATTGTTGTTAGAGAGGCGCGATAAGACCACAGGTGACGTCGCACCTCAATAAAACGTGCATTATTTTCGCTGGGTTCAGACTCAGGAGAATCACGGAGTTCCTTCTGAACCCATGTTCGTTTGAGGCCTTGGGAGAGGGAGATTGCTACCAAGTACAGGCAGAACAGTTGTAAGAGTCCGTACATGATAAGATACTAATTCTCACCTGACGGTATAAATCTGGGAAGCGAACGAAGCTCGTCTTCAAAGCGTGTTGGAAAAGATTCCGATTATAGCTTCGGTTCTCCGTTTTGCTTGTGATATGTTTACCCTGCAGACAGGCAGGATAGATAACTGTAGGGGGGCAGGAGAAACGACTGGATCCGGTGGCAGTTTAGCATGTGGAAGAGGAATTTCTGCGAAAACTTGTAAAACTAATGTTTGGTTGGGAAGTGAACAAGATAAATTTAAAATTCCTGCTACTTTAGTAGTAGGTTTTATGGTGTGACCTTTGATTTTTGATTTTTGGCAGCCCGATGTCGATCTGCACGAAACAACGGTACACCTTCCTAATAGCGTAAAGGGTCCTTCTTTATAAGGCGAAAAGCGCTCCTTATAAGGTCTAGCGCAAAGACCCCCTTCGATCAGGGTAGTGTTGCCACGGCTCAGCTGCACTTAGCTTGGCTCGACTTATCACCGACTCGGCTTCGGACTGACTCCAAAGTCAAATTGTGTCATTGGCTTTGACTCGGCTTGGCTCAAAGCCACTGATTTCCAGCCGAGTCATCGGCTTCACTCTAAATTAGGCAATGTAATTCATATAGCCTACTCTACATCAATTACTGCCTCGAAAGTGTCTAAAAAGCGCAGAAAATCATCCATTCCAGAAGGGACTTCTGATTCCTCATCCATTAGACCCTCAAGTGAAGCTGTATGTGTGGCCTTGTCATAGTGCTGTGTAAAATTTAACGTAGCACCCTTCTTCAAGTGAAACTTCAGTATCTGCAGCGCTTCCATCAGCTCGGGTGTAATCCGGGAACGGCGATCTGTGATTGTCTGCTTGCCAGATGAGAAGACTCATTCACAAGGTACAGATGACCCTTGGATCAGAAGGATATCCATAGCCATTAAAAATAGAGTTGGATAGCGTGTACGATTTTCCTATGAAAATGTGTCAGAGAGAAGGGGATATCTTAGAAAACCACATACCTGCCAGAATAACAAACTACTAGATAAGGATTGACGATCAAGAAGATATGCATCAAACTCTTCAGCAAGGGTCTGTCGTACTGTTGAGCTGATGGCAGGCATATCAAGACCGAGTACTTCATCCGCCCAGTTGCGAGTATGCAGAGGTGCGGGATTTGACACTAAAGTCATCGTAGAATAGCTTTGGAGCTGTGAAGTATTATGAGTCATGCAATATAATAAAATCAGTTATAGTTATGAGATTACCTCCTGCATAAATATATTCTTGACCCACCCAATCTTTGTCGGGTCATGCTGCTCATACCATTTCAGCTTCATGGTAGGATTTAAGACTGAAATAGGTTTTAGAAATGAATTATATGGAGGAAATGAAATGAAACGAAACTCATAGAAAATATATATGCCAGGATATACATAACACGGCCATAGTAGTCTTCCAGCTTCTCGAGGCCGGCTGTTATTACGTCTCGCATTTCCGGCATTTTCTCCTTCAGTAAACGCCACCGAATAATCAATGCTGAGAAAGATGGAAGAGCATCACAAAGTGTGGGAGTCTTCTCTGCTGAAAGTCGTTGTTGAAAAGCATGTGGAATCTAATATTAATGATAGCCATTAGAATGAGTTGCTTGTATAAGCTTGGTACTCACACTTAGGATTTCATGAAAAAGTTGGAGAACAGTCCATTTGTCATCACTTAATTGATGTTTTTGAAGTTTGCGCTGCTCTCAGCACTGAAGGAATGTCTGGATTGGCTGTGTCCAGATTTTGTTAACAAAGAGAAGGCAAAGCAAATTATTATAGAAGAGAACAACATACCTGGCGTAAAACAATTGCCCTCTCAATCATAATATCTGTTGAGGACCACCGGACATCTACATTATGGAGTAGCTGTAGAGAACCCAATCCAGCTTGAGCAACTTTCTCAGAAAATGCCTGACGGCGAAGCGATGATGATCTTATCTACAGATGCCATAAGCAACTTGGGAACCCACAAAAAGGCTATCCACTTACCGATCTAACAAGAGAACGTAGTGTGGAAATGGGATCCCGAGTAATATAGGCTAAGGCTCCTTCATTACCCACACCATTGTATTATATCTCACCAATTGCCTTCTCAGCCTCATGGCATGCAAGATTTACAATATGAGGAAAGCATCTACGCATTTAATGAATAAGGAACTACAGGAGAGGTCAGACTCATGCACCGAATTCGGTTGTCTACCCGATCAAAACACATGTCTGGATATCGCAGTCTTAATAACCTTTCGAGATGTTCCATCATCATGTCATTATTTGTCGCATTGTCACAAGTAATCCATCCCACCTAGCATAGAAACATTGGTAATATGTTACCCCCAAACAAAAGACATACGCACTTTTCCCGTAATTTGCAAGCGGTCAAGGATGTAGATGAACACTTCCACTAAGTGCTCCTCTGTATGATGTCCAGGAACGCAATGGAAGCCAATGAGATCTGAATGCAGATGCAGTGTTGCATGACCATCAACAATCCGGTTCTTGATCCAATGACAGGTAACAGCTATGAAGGGATGCATATTCAGGTCTGTCCAGAGATCCTCAGTGAATGAAATGCGTCCCATAGAAGCCTAGATTGCTACGTTCATGAGAACTCTTATATAATAAATAGCGCTAACCTTTAATTCTGAAGTGAGGTCATCCATGTATTTGTCCCACATCTCAAGGATATGAGCATGTAATGATGATCGATGGGGTATGTCAGAGTCTTTCAAGCTTTCTCTAAGCATCAAGAATATAGACCATAGATGCGGACTCTCAATGGCATTGATTGACTGAAATTTCATTAACACATGCAAATTTGGATCAAATATGAATAGTACAAGCCTGGTCATCAGCAACAACCCATGCAACTAGCGAATCAATGAACGCTTCATGCGAGAATGCACGATGTCCAGTACTGTTAAATATGGAAGATTGCTTCCCTTGGTCAAGGTGAAATTTGTGGATCGCATCTTGATATCGCTTTTGAGTAGAGCGCACCTGTATACCCTGATTGTCACACTTCGTCAGCCATGAAGTGGTGTGGTAATCAAGCAAGTGGTGCTGTAAGATATCGGTACTTGTTTTTGAGCCAAAGTCTGATGCTCCAGGAAGCTCATTATCCTTCTCGAAATCCTTCGCATGGTGATTAAAATAAAGATCAGAATTCAGAGACTTAGATAGACAACTTTGAAGACGCACGTGCAGAAAGCGCAATGATGGCAGTTCTCGGACTTTATAAAGAATGACCAGACATCACAGGCAGTATTACGGCCTTTTTTGACAGTATGACCAGCAGCAGCATGGGAAAGTCGTCGAGGTGTTCCTGGTGTTCTGGACAATCGGTGGGGTATAGGGAATGGGTTACGATGAGGAGTATGTGGAGCTTGAGCTGTATGATCAGAATCTGATGGTCGCCAAGGTGTTTCGCTATGAACAGCGGAATCGTCGGACAGAGATGATAGAGGAGACAGCTCAAGGAACTCTCCATCTGAACTCTCTGGATCGTCAACAAAATGCGCACGTCAGGAGCGTGGTACCGGCACCGGCACTGCACCTGGCACCGTCTCCCTGGGCTGATGAGTGGGGGATGGAGAGATAATGGGTTGTGATGGCACCATACTGCCGGAAGCCTGTGCCACCTGCATCGATGGATCTGAAAAGGGGACAGCCATTGTCTCTGATGGAGTAGGTTGACGGTGGTTATAGCCTAATGACAAATATCAGAACTATAGATAAGACTCAATATATAAGTACTTGCCATGAATGCGGAACATTGTTTGAACACCGGGAACTGGAATGGCCTCTGTAGGAGGCAACACTTGTGTTGGCCCATTAGATGCCAGACTGGAACCTGCATTGGACCTGGAACGCATGGGAGCACTGGCACGAGAACGAGAATGAGTAGTTGGTGGCACAGTGGTATCTGGTACGGGCTCGACATGGGAGTCTGTATGATCAGCATTAGCCATACTGCTGCCATCAGCTTTTCGTCCGCCTCGCTTTCTGCCAGCAGGAGCCATGGATGTGCAATGAATAATGTACTTACTACTTTGAATGGTTTATATACGTGAAAAACGATGACGTAGTACCTTCTCGTTCCAAGCAATGCACGGAAAGGCTGGACAAACAAATGTTAGGATGGGGAATGCAGGCAGTCAGGAAGCACATACATGTCAGCGATTAAGCCAACAGCCAGTATCATGTAATAAATCCCAACCATCATTAACAGCGGAGCATACTAAGCGGACAACAAGGCCACAGGTACCCTAGAATATAATCAGCCATGTCCTACCGCCACCAGAGAAGAATGAGCAATTGAGACAGAAACGGAAAAAATTGCATGCACATGTATGACTGCCACCTGGTGACATGTCCTCAGATGACATAGTGCCTCGGAAACCTTCAATGCGGTATCTTGAAGAGGTTATAACATTATACTGTGCGTAAAACATAACATCTAGTGAAAGTTGATACATAAGAGCTGTCTATTATTCGATAAGGATGGATAATAGTAGTAAGACCAATAAACGTACCTCTGCAATTACATGCATGACTGCGTATGCATCCTACACCATCATCGGGTCCCACTATATCACTCGGAGAAGGCGTTGGCCACAAGAACACCACGAAGGAATGCCAGGATCAAGAAGAATGGTTTCATGATGGTGCGACATCAATGGAGACCTGCTTGAAGCCATGACAGCTGGATGTTCTAAGGCTTGAACTCAGATATGACCAGCATATACAAAAGAGTCACCTACCTTCAATTTAATATCTGCACATTCCACACATGCGAACTCCTGAACAGTCCATTAACAACATACAGCTTATCAGATGGAATCAGATAGCTGCAAGCCGTGAGTGAACAGCCTACTGACAGAAATGCAGCCATAATTCAGGAGAAATAACATAAGTTACCCCATCTATCAAGTTCTTAGTCCTTCAGAATGTTGGCAAGATGAATAGAGTGAGAGGCCACCACATTTTCGATGATGGAGAAGATCAGTGAGAGTGAAGTCCAAAAGTGGAACGAGTCAGCGACTTGGGTCTGCTCAAGCCGCGAAAAGCTGAGTCATAGCTGAGCCGAGCCATCCTAGGCCTGAGTCATTGCCGGTGACTCGGCTCATAGCATTTCCGACTCGGCTCGGCGACTCGGTGACTCGAAGCCGAGTCGTTGGCAACACTAGATCAGGGGCTTACCCCCCCTTCAGAAGATCGGCATTAGCGGCATGAGGGCATGCCATAGCCGGCAATTCAGTAGTACGGTCCGAGTTTGCCATGCATCCGTTGCGTTGGACCCAGTAGCAGGAATCTTTCTGACTCTTCATCATCCGCCCTCGACGTTTGTTAGCCAGCCCCTCTTGTACGCCATCACATCGTCCCAGCATAACACATCAACATCGTTGCAACCGTAACTCCTGCAGAAATGTTGATCACTCTGAATGGAATACCTGTGAATTCTATCTCTCCTACCTTACAATCTTGTTCGCTCCTGTCTTCATCGTCTCCATTTGCTGGAGGTTATCCTCCTGGCCGCAAAATCCTTCATTTGGTCACTGTTTATGATGCTGACATCAATTACGGCTCTTCAATGGTGGAATTTAACGTGGTGGGGTCAATGCAAACCGAAATTGCACTCAGATACAATTGGTTGTCATTCTTCCATGTTCTGAACCCGGGTGGAGCCTTGACACCAGGTAGGTGTTTCTCCCCGTATTTTGCAGTCCCAATCTAATATACTACCAGAGTTGTCATCATTTTTGCAACTTTTTCAGCCAACATCTACGACTTCAGGTACTTGTTTGACTGGAATTTTGAGAATATATAAATGTAATTTTTGCAGCACCTCCACATTCAACATATGCCAGTTCTCAAAGTCCCGGCTCCCAGTCTAGGCTGGAGACACATGCCTTCAGGTGTGTTTATCATCCCTCAGGGACAGACGCCTCTGGGCATGTTTATCATCCCTCGGGAACAGACGCCTCTGGGCACGTTTATCATCCCTTGGGGACTTATGTCTCCAGGCACGTGTACACTTCACATAGCAACCCAAGTCAGTCAGTAGTGCCTTCAAAAAAGTTCTCCCTTGAGGATCATCCAGATTTACCAGCGGATGTCACTACTTGCTATGCATATGAATTTTCCCAGAACTTAAGTTCATGTTGACCATTCACAGAAGCTCTGAGTGTTGCACAAGATGTTTTGTTCACATACTCACATGAAGTAATCAGATCTAGTCTTTTCATGTCTTTGCGCTCTAAGTTGCAGGGTGTGCTTGCCTTACATGGTATCGATAGTGCGGGATACGATGAGTCTCTGTGTTGACAAATTTATGCTGCACATTTAATGACTGGTGCATGTGTGTCTTCGCCTCAATGTACGGTCATCAAGGAGAAAAATTATATGGCTTGTAGGGTTGTAACAGGCGTGTATACTAAGCTGGAGGCATATGTCATCGATTTCATAGATCTTGTGCTCAGTGAAGCTGTTCAGTTATCTGTCTTTCCAGAGAAACAGTTGGTCTTCCTCCTCGAGAGTGTAGGTTTTGATGTTGTCTTCATGGAAGATCTTCCGCACTATGAGGTTGTCCTGAGATGTTTTTTGCAGTGGCGACAGTCAGCATTATCAGAAGGTATGTTGAGGTTCATGTTGGAATGCGAACAGACATCTAAGCCAGCATTGCTTGCATTTTGTGAAAGCCATCAACTGAGAGTGTCAGCCACCATGCAGGTAGAAGATCTAAGACAGCAGACGATAGAGCATCTTGTGTCTGGTAATTGTACTCACAGATTACAACAGGTATTTGATGAACAATATGTCACTGAGACCGATGTATGTTACAAGGTCAGACTGTTAGAGTCTTTAGAGAAAAGAGCACCTTGTAAACTCTTACAGCATATACTTACGTCGTTCTCATTGACTTTCGAGACATCTGATTCTGTTTCCCTGCCTTCGTCAAATTTTGAAAGATTACATTAAACAACTCAAAAAAGGATAAAACATCGATTCGTGCATGGGTTCGGTCCAACACACGAAGTTCTGTAGGTGTCCTCCCAACATTCGAACCCCCACGTCAAGAAATTGATGAGAATGTCAGGAGAACTTGTGAACAATGGCCACGTGTGCCATCTCAGAGTCTCAAGGATAAGATTGTCAAACTTTTTCATGATCATACTGGATCTCGTGCTCTTGAGGAATTTACATGTGCAGCATGCTCGGAAAGAAGTTTATGTCGTGAAAGAAAGGTGATGGCTTTGGCTGACGTTGATAGTACATTGCTCACACCAACTGACTTGCGGTATGAAGCTATTCCGGCTCCTGGACCTCATTGTGTGGGACGCATGCTCCTCGATGTCGATGGTATGTTTGAAGTGGAGAGCGGTAATCCCAAGCTACAACTTTGTAGGTCTTGTCACTCTGCTCTTGTTAGGGGAGTTGTCCCACCACTTTCTCTAGCCAACAACAACTACTTAGGTTCTGTTCCGTCGGAGCTGAAAGAACTCACTGTTGTAGAAGAGGCGATGATTGCTCTCTGCCATTCGAAATGTTGGGTTCTCCAGCTGACAGACGAGAAAGGTTCTGGTATATACCAGAGGGGAATGATAGGCCACGTCATTGTATATCCACAGTGACCAGGAGCTGTTGCACATAAGTTACCACCCTCAATAGAAGAAATTACATCACCACTCTGTGTAATTTTTATTGGTTTGACTCTGCCCACTGAGGAATGGTTGAGAAAAAAAGCTAAACCTTTAGCAGGTCCATGGGATCAAGGTCAGACGTGCCCTTCAATGGCTTAAGAAGAACAATCCTTTATATTGAGATATTGAAATCAACGAGGACATGCTCGATGCTTTAGATGTCGATCCAGTTTTACCTTTCCATATACAGCACGTTGTTCCTTCTGGTGCGACAGACTCAGCTACCGCTCGATATGATGACCCGGACAAAGAATTCACGGTGGGTGTCGATGATGAAGTTCCCTTTCAGAACGTTGTCATTACAGATGTCGAAGGTGATGCCTCATATGCAGATCTCAAAGCTGCTGCATGGAATCACATCAAGAAGAACGGAGGAGGTTACATTGGTGTTCCTCATGATGTGTCACCTTCGAACGAATTTAACAATCCAGCCCTATTGCCCATGATGTATCCAACCCTTTTCCCCTATGGTATCGGTGGGCCCGAAGATCCAGAACGTTCATCCCCGTTAGCATTTAAATGAAACATCAGACATTTTTTCTGCCTCCAAGACTGTCGTTTCGAAGAGCATTACTCATTTCTCTTCTCGGCATTCAATATGCTCCAGTGTCGAGAGCTACTTCTTCGTACAGGTTTGAAGGTTAAGAGACAGTCGTTTGCCTCTGTTGCCACCCGATTTGCAAAAGTTTCCCCAGAGGCTGTGCATGTAGTCAGTGAACGCGTCTCACGAGGGGATTACCAAACTGCCAATTCTGCTGAGGAGCACCAGGTTCTCAAGCTAATGTCTGAAGTGAGAGCTGTATCTTCACATGTCACAGGTTCCGCGTCTTCAAAAACAGTCATGCGCAATGAAATCAGGGGTCTGATGATAGATCAAGGATTGCCCAGCTTTTATATCACAATCAATCCTGCGGATACCTTCAACCCTTTGATCAGGTTTCTTGTGGGTGATGACATTGATATAGATCACTTACTGCCTGATGATATCTTTGGCTATATTCGGCAGAAATACCTTGTCGCAAAGAATCCATTTTTGGCAGCCAGATTTTTTAACATATATATGAAGGCTTTTATTTCCGTTGTGCTTGGGGTCGATAGTGGAGATGTAGATATCGAGCAAGAAGGTGGGGGCGCTTGGCAAGGTAAAAGCATATTATGGCTGTGTTGAGGCCCAAGGCAGAGGGATGCTTCATTGTCATATGCTTGTATGGCTCGAAGGCGGTTTGAATCCTAATGAGATCAAGGATCAAATTCTTCAGAAAGGTGACCAGGAATTCTGCGATAGATTATTAGCGTTTCTGGATGACACCATCTCGACCTGCGTACCAAAACCCTCCGAGATACAGCCAGAAGTCCCTTCTTCTCGTTCCCATCCATCGTCAGTTTGCAGTATACAGGATCTATACACGAAAGACATTCCCAATCAGCAAGCGATAGAAGCAGACCTTCAAAACTTGATATCTAAATCACAAATTCATAAACATTCGGGAACATGTTACAAATACTGGAAGTCACCTGAACCTAGGACCTGTCGGTTTGACCTCGACGAAAAGAATTTCCAGGGAAAAGTCGTCCTTCGATCCAGATACAGGGGAGTTATGCTTACAATGCCTCGATGGAATGGTCAATCATTTCAATGAAACCATAATCAGGGTGGTGCGATGCAATATGGACATCCAATTCATCGGTTCAGGGGCTTCGGCAAAAGCAGTCCTTTATTATATTACCGATTACATCACCAAGTCTAGATTGAAAGCGAATGTCGTGTACGCAGCGTTAGAGTTATCTGTGAGGAAATTAGGAGAATACGATCCACAAGAAGACGATATTACCGTTCGTGCGAAGCGGTTACTACAGAAATGTTCATATGCCATGATGACCAAGCAAGAACTGTCAGGGCAGGAGGTGGCTACGTACTTGCAGGAATACGAAAGACCATTTTACTAGTCATGCTTTCCGTCCCATGTTTTGGACGAGTTTGGAACATGTCATCGATGTCATGGATCCTGTCTCCCAAGTGCAATGTGACTGAAGGCCTGGCTGCCAAGACTGAGATAACTGGTTCTTCTGTTGAAACAGCATCTGCTCAACAACCCACTGACTCGGTAGATGAACCGGAGGAGCCTATGGAACCTGTCCCAGATGCACTTCATGCAGAACAAGAGGAAGTCTATTTAACATCAAATGAATCAGGACAGGTATGTCCAAGAGGAAATTTAGTAGAAGATTACATGTACCGTGGACCCCAATTCGCAAACCATTCAGTTTGGGAGTATGTCAGTGGCGTCATAAAAGTTCCTAAGACTATGGTTGGTAGACGGGGGTCTAAAAAACATCTTAGATCAGATGAATTTGAGGATGGTGATGATGGTCAAACAGGCAGACAGTAGTTTTTTCCTTATTGAATCTCATGTGGCTTTTGATAGTCATCATCCAGAGTACCATACTCACTTCCAGCGGATCCGTACAGAGGAGGGTAGGGTGATTCCGGTTCCCCTTGGTCCATCAATTCCTCGTCGTGACAGAAGTCACTTGTACGAAAGGTATTGTCGGCTAATGCTGATTTTTTTCAAACCTTGGTACTCGGCCACGGATTTGAGAACAAAAGGAGAAACATGGTCAGCTGCCTTTAAGATATTTTTCAACAATAATCCTCGGTGGCAACAACATTTAGACAACATGCAAATTTTGCATGAATGCCGAGATAGCAGAGACAACCATTTTGAACATAGGAGATGGAGACTCGGTCCTGACGTTAGTACATTTGGTGCAGGGTCTAAGGAGGTCAACGATGATTTCAATGGTGATACGGACGTACCACAAGACATTTTGGATCACTTGGAGTTGATACAAGATCAAAAATCCCAGCAGACAAGCCGCCGAGTGAAAGGTGTTGCTGCAGTACTCCAGTCACTCAAGGCAAGTGGCATGTTCACTGTTTCTGAATCTGATTCAAATCATGTGGAGGCATGCAAGGAGGACGCATATTCAGAAATTAAATCAGATTCTGACTTAGTGGACGAAGCACTCTGGGAAAAGGTGTACGAAGAGCGTAGGACTGCATGGCGCAAGATGAATCAATTGTATATGGAAGAAAAAGAACAAAATGATACCCCCACGGAGTCCATGGAAGTTGAAATTGATGACAGTAATCGTTTCCGTGACACAATAGACAGAGACGATATTGATATGAGCATGGAAGCTGATTGTCGTCAAGACATTGAGGCTGTAGACCCAGACGTCGACGTTAGTGTTCAAGAGGTAATTAATCAGTTCACGTTGAACCACGAGCAAGCCCGTGTGTTTCGAATTATTGCCAAGCATAGTATGCAGTCCTGCCCAGAGCAGCTTAGGATGTTTCTTGCCGGTGCAGGAGGAACGGGAAAATCGTGCATTATACATGTCTTAAGATTCTTCTTCTCGGCTCGACGACAGACTCGTCATTTCCGGCTAGCTTCATTCACTGGGGTGGCGGCCAAAAATATATCTGGTGTGACACTCCATTCACTGCTCATGTTGGGACAAAGAACCAGGAAAGATCAGCATAAGAAAACATCAACGGATCTCGTTGGGATGTGGCAAGGTGTTGAATATTTGTTCATTGATGAGGTGTCTATGATCGGATGCAAGCTACTGTATGATGTATGTGAGGCCCTTCAGATTGCCAAGGAAAATGACAAACCTTTTGGAGGCATCAATATTATTTTCATGGGAGACTTTGCACAACTTCCTCCTGTTGGCCAAGTTCGGTTATATGCACATTTGAACACGCGCTCTACTGGCCAGCTTCATCAAATGAATATGATTGGAAAAGTGTTGTGGTACTCTGTAGATACTGTTGTTCAGCTCCATGAGGTGATGTGGCAAGCAGGATCGGCCAATGAGGAGTTCATCTCTTTGTTGGCACGTCTCCGAGTCGGGAGATGCACTGAATGAGGACTATGAACTTCTTCTGAGCCGTACAGTGGAATCAGTAAGACCGGACTGGAATACTTTGGACTGGAACACTGCACCTGTGATTGTGTATGAAAATGCAATCAAGGACGCTGTGAATGAAGATAGTGCACGTTCCTTCTCTCGACATACAGGTTGACCTCTGCATTGGTATTATTCAGTGGATAGACACAGGGGTGATACTATCGAGGACTGTGAACCTTCAAAATCATTTGTGGTCCATGAATTCTGGACAGACCCAGCATAGGTTAGGTAGAATTCCGTTGGTGATTGGAATGCCTGTCATGTTTGCTCAGAACTACGATGTGGGCAGGGGCATTGTCAACGGATGTACTGGGAACTCTTGAGAAGATTCACTTTTACAAAGACAAAGAAGGACTACGTCACGCCGTATCCTGTGTTGTGAAGGTTACGGACATGACTTCAGCTCCACTCCCAGGGCTTGATTCTTGTCAGGCTGTTGCGTTATGAGACACTGTCAACATGAGTTTCAAAAATCAGTTTACTGGGAAGAAATGTATGATTAAACGGACACAGCTTCCTATTGCTCCTGGGTTCGCGATGACAGCTCATAAATCCCAGGGACAAACATTAACACGAGCAATCATAGATTTGGAGTCTTGTTCTGGGACTAGAGGCTCCTTATGTGATGGTCTCCAGAGTGAAATCATTGGATGGACTTCTGATTGCTCACTGGTTTGGCAATGAAAAAATTAATGTACGTCCATCCCAAGAGATTCGGCTAGAAAATCGACTGACTTGAAGTCTTGGTGAATGTTACAAAGACAGTACATGGTTCTCCGGCTGAGGTGGACGAGGCTGAGGCCGCACTATGAACTCTTTGTGAAGATACAAGTGCTGAAGAATTCACAGAGGCTCACAAACGAGAGACAGGACCACTCAATGTCAGCCCATGCAGACTGGACTTCCTGCAAAAGCAGGCTCAACAATGGGGTCGAACCTTCAAGCATGGTGGAGCATGCAAGAAGTGTCAGAGGGTTCCAGCAACAAAGATACCGGACTCCGCCAAATGGTGCAAGGTAACGTGACATCATTAATGTTGATTTCGTTCTTTCACTATCCCATTTGTGTCTTTGTTCTTGGTCTGTTGTTAGCATTGCGGAGCTCACACTCTGCGCCTGCACTGCATGACGTGCAAGGCACACGTATGGTGAGTAATTTTCAGTTGTAGTTTGGGGTTGTTGGCTGATACACTTGGGAGCACATCATGACTTGACTTGACTCAATTAAACACAATGACGACCTTGCATCAGTATGTTTACCCGCACAGCTTAAAGGGAGTGGCAACCAGCACTACATCTCTTGCTCCCTGGCCTTCCTCCAATCTAAATGGAAAAATCAGACCTTCTGTACGTACTTCACATTGACTACATTCATTAATGTTCTGTTTACTTACTTGTCACAGAATATCACCTGCAGATGACCTTATTCTCCGGGACATACTTCCCGAACCCTTGATCACATTCTCTCAAGCTAATTCTATCACGAACCGGGTCATTACGGATTTTCAGAAGAGAGCGTACAACATAGCGGCTTTCTTGTCTCCGTTCTTCACAGAAGTTCAGTATTATTCATTCTGGGGCCTGCAAGCTATCACAGGTCTGCTGATCTCCAGGTCTACTGCACTTCAATTTCTAGACCATACGTATTACAAGGGATCAGATCTAGATCTTTATGTGAACCACGTATTTGCAAGACGTGTATGCTTTTTGTTTTTTTGTTGTGCGTTCTGGTCTCATGAACATTCAGGTGCACCAATGGCTGGTCGGAACGGGTACATCTTCCAGTTGCCTAGTCTGGATAGGTCTTTTTTGGACTTGCAAACCACCTTGGCCGAACTGAATGCGCCAATGCCCACACCTCTCCCTAAACAATATGGAGGGCCTGGAATCATATGTGTCCTCAAATACCGCAATCCTTCGAACATGAAAGTCGACGTGATATTAACTCGCTTTACACCGCTTCAGGCGATCTTATCATTCCATAGTAGTAAGCGACTTCAATTTTGAAATCAACCAAGGAATAACCTGGAACAATAGCTTGTGTCATGAACGTTATTTCATATGCTCATGCTATTTCTCTCTACCCCCGTGCAACATTCGTCGATCATGTAGCGTGTCACATCGAATCTGGTCGGATGCGGGACATGAACGCGATATCCAAGTACAAAGCCTGAGGGTGGACGATGATAGACTGCACTCAGGTTCTCAGTCGTCCGGAGTTTCGGGTTGTACGGCGTGTTGGGGACCGTCATACATGGGTCATCCCTTTGCGTACCAGAAAGAAGTCACCCAGAGATCCTCAACTAGACATGATATTCGCTAACAGCTGGAAGCTGGGCATTCATCCTCCTTGCGATTATTTGTTCAACTTTCATTTGGTCTTCCGCACTCGTAGACAAGAGGCATACTGCTTCGGTTCCTATGAAGAATGTCCCTTGTTATGCAAGTACTTGATTGGTACAATTTCCAATGTGTGGTCAGTTACATTCTCGCTGTGGTTTTCTGTTGTCTGGTCTAACTGTTTGTATATAGGAGTGATCATTATTTCTTGAGTGTCATGAAACTGGTGGCAAAGGGGGGTCATTGGGAGAAGGCTATTAGAGCAGATGCGTATGATATCAAGTAGGCTTGTTACATTACATTACTGGTTGTGTTTAAGCTGCGATATGATTGATGCATTCCTGTTTATCTGCCCTTAATTTGAGATCTTAAGCCCCGAGGCTTTGATTGGCGGATATCTTGATGTCAGCAAGTAGTAAAACTTGGGTGAGAGGGAGGGACGTTGATGAAAGTGTACCACGCCAGCTTCAGAAACCTTGGACTCTTCAAGTAGACATTCGCTGACTGAAGAGGCGGTGTAACTGCCGATGCCTGACTTAAAAATTTCACTAAAAAGCCTCTATTTGGTCTTGGTAGTGAAAACAAGTACTCATGTGTTACGTCAACCTGAACTACATATCATATCTGGAACGACTGTGCATGGTACTACGCATTGCCTCTTAGGTCGGATCAACTGGGTAATAGGAACCATCGGCTGTCATTCGTATTCCTCAAGAATCTACCATAAACGAGTTGTCAGATGCTTTATTCATGTACATGAACCCTCACCTGTGCACCAGTCCTGTCAACGATGGTAACTGAGTCTAGCTTTGTTATAAAATGCGTCTCATTTTTCCGGGAGTGAGCAAGATGGAAGGCGACACTGACATCGACAAGATGGCCCGGTCTTAGGGATCGGCCGCTATCATGTGCCTCCAAGCTTAGACCGACAATAGTATGAGTGTAACAGAATAGAGGAGAGCAACAGCCACATACCTTATGGTGTCCTCCTTTGTGTGCACCCACTCATAAAAGAAAACCTGAGTATCCTCCATGTATTTATGGTTCGTGCGTTGGCACAGCTTTGTCAGAACACCTTGGGGATCAACTTGGTGTGGTATCGGTATCGCATCAATTCCTGTGGCCATAGCTCCCATCAACAACTTGCTGTCGGCATATATGGCTTTGGTGCCTCCGAAGTTGCTGTCGTGGAGAGAAAGTCTGTGAGGCTTTGACGTGAAGTCTGCCATGTAATCGTGGATTTGATGCAGGCCCGCTCTCGCTTGATCAAAGATTTGGTCATGGTCTTGCGACACTACTTGAATGTATTGTCGAATGGAACCTGGGCGAGGACTATGTAATAGGCAATGGTGAGTTCTTGATCGTGTACAGGCAGGGCTACTTATGTTCGACCATGGGAATTGTTGAACAGTGTGATGCACACCTGCGTCACAGTGCCTTGGTAATGCAAGATAACCTCTTCTTGACTATCCTTCCACAACAGAAACTTCCTTTCTGGTGAACCAAGAGAATCAACAATAAAATATTTCTCTACTTCCAGCAGGATCGCTGAACCGAGATAACTGAACTGCTACAAGTGGATTCATCATGACTGACACAGCGAAGTACATTTTTCGAGTGGCTTCTGCATCTTCGGTCAACGGGGAGTTTAACGACAATCATGGTTTCATACTCACCACTCTGACTATTCAAGACGCTTTGGATGTGTTCCCAATTAGCAGTTTCAAACTTGAGGCTCATGGTACCACGGGGTGGAGTCAGGTTTTTTCCAATTATTGCCCATATGTACGCGTGTCTATTCTGACTTGTTGGTTGGTCGGACGACTCACACCAGTACATAGAGTCATCACAGCCGTCTGTCGTCGAGTCATACTGATGAGCTTGCGGTGAGTCATGCTCCCTCCACCCGCTATCGGCTCACGTCTTTAAAAAAAGAAGCAAACTCTATCAACAACCAGTGTTAATCAAGGCCTCATTTCCGACGTTCCATTCATGCCTCCCCGCAAAAATCCTGAGAAGCATTCTAGATCCCCCCCGACAAACGTCACCGGTGTCATACCCCCCAAGAAGATGAAAATGTTTGTTCAAAAAATTGCCGTCTCTTGTCATATGTTTACGGAAATTTCAGGGACCCAGCGAATGATGCTGAGACAGATGCCAGGTTAGCTGGTCATGTGGTACTTTTTTTATGATATCGCTGATAAAGTCCATTTATCTAGCATGGTGACCACGTCTCCTGGATCGGAGACCTCGAAACCCCTACCGGATGTTATGGCACCATCGACAAATGACCGGTGTGTACCCTAACAATCGCCAGTGTAGACTGATTACTATTCCGATTACAGGATCGGAGCAGAACTCGTGACAGTCAATGCGACAGAGCTCAAAGCCAAAAATGTACCGTAAGCATTCTAATCCACAGTGCAATATACGTTCACGGTTCACTAATTGCAACCAGATCCTCATCCAATGTCAAGGAGAAGAAGACTGTTGCTGCAGAGGGCCTCGAAGTCACTGGCATTGTGCTGCCAGCCTGGGTAGCGACACTTCAAGGTGTCAGATACCAGGGATACGACCTCCGTTCAAAGGTTATGGTGCCTATACCGAGTATGACCTTGCGCACGCATTGTCCAGGTAACCTATCGAAATTGAAGTACATGACCTTTTACCCATTCATAAGACATCCTTTAAACGCATTGTTACAGGCGACTGCTTGGTTACATGTTTGTTAAGGGAACCAGTCACCTCCACAACATTTTTCTTTCCGATCCGGCCAACTTTACGGTCAAACTCCCAAAGGGATCTCTGAAAGAAAGTAAAGGTGGTCGAATTGTGGTGCAGGAAGCCAATTTACCTATGGCATCGTTCTTCTTTGTGGGCATGGTAATGGACAGCGCATCGACCATGGAAGATTCTGCTAAATCTTTGGTCGTACAACCGCTCAAGCAAACGGTGGAGCACAGCCTTGCCTTCATTGGTGCGGTTACAAAGCTCGAGGACATCATTTTGCCTGTCAAGGATAATGGCCTTTTGTTTTCTACATACCGTAAACCAGGGGAAGGTCTGCATCTTTATTCCTCCTTGAGTATTTTTCAGCTGATTCTTTCACAGGGAGTAGTGACTTCCCTGTATTACGATTTCACGCCTTATCTTATCTTATCGTCTTCATCGTAATCCTGCTATGCTAGTTTTCCGGACTTGATCGCATTCCCCATGCGGGTCTAGTGCATCTAACGCACCGTTGCAGACACTTGTAGTATATTTAGCACGACCCAAACTGTATTTAAGTAGCTCGACTGCAGGTCTTAAACCTCAGTCTCGAACTAAAGTTTATTCACCCGATAACTTAGTCTGAACTCACTCTCGCTCAACTAAGCGATAGCTCCCTTAACGCAAACCTGTGGACAACACAAAGCGCCTGACCGAAGTGCGAGTCACACTTAGTTGTTTGATCTTGTTTGTTGTATCGGTCGCTAACAATTAGTTCGAGACTTTCCTACTCTTCATCAACAACCACGTTGACGAACAGTAACGAATGAACCCCATCGAACAATATCTCACCGACCTTTTTGGACTACAAGGCTTTATTGCCGTAGCCTACCTCGCATTCCTATATGGATACGAATACCGATGAAACCAGGAGCCAGTCTCCGAAGAAACTATCCCCGTCGAAGCCCCCAACCCGGAGGCTAGACGAGCGCACACACCCCCTCCCGACTATGTCAACGACCGACCTGACCCCATCATCCACTTCATTTTCATCACAGATGACGAGTGGATCACAGAAGACTCCGACACAAACGAGTCCAGTGAGTCCGACACCGAGATGGAAGGATGGCCCGCACAAAGAGGCCCAGTCGTTGAAGAAGAAGAAGAGCGAGGAGTCTACGAACAAGGGATGGACCAGCGTGTTCTCTCTCCCATTACCGAGGAAGAAAACGAAGGGGAAGATGAAGGAAGTGACCCATGGGACGCCCCTTCCCCCACCTCAACTGAAAACTCAGCCGCCAACCCTGGATATGATTCATACGGACAGCGCCTCTATCAAAGAGGGCTTAGATATCATCTGGGAGAAAGAAGAGAGGCTGAAGATGGAACTGGAAGCAGTTCAAATGCAGCGATGCAGAGGAGGACTACGACAGCGACGAGCTCCCAGGGCCGCGCAACAACTGGTCCCCGCCAAGGCTGGACTCCAGAGGAGAAACGTGGGGCAACTACTACGCCCGAAGCGACTCCTCAGACGACGAAGGCAGTTACCTCCACCTCGTCACCCGCCCGAACACCCCAAACATCGTCAATGATCGGGCTGGAGAAGCCACCACCGAGCTCGACAACTGCGGACCCACTTACGACGCCGACGCCAGCTGCAATGTATGCAGACAGATACAGGACTACGCCGACGCGTGGCTCATGTACGAAGGAATCGAGGCCCCTGCCTCCGTCGCCCCCTACGCCATCTATCCCCTTGCACCAGAACACCCCCACGCAGCCCCCATCCCCTTCGTTGCACCCTGGGTATGGGATAGACCCCGAAGACCAGACTTCGATCAAGTCATACTCCGGGTCAATGAGTGGGCAAGAATCGTCCGAAACTGGAACCGTATCGTCACAGGAAGCACGGAGCCTTTCGAACGAGTCCGACCTATCGGACTTAGAAGAAGGCGAAATCTACGAGAACCCTGGAATAGGGCGGACTTCAACTTACAGCAGCAGCATAGGGTGGGAGAATACGGAGAGGAAGATATTATCCCCGAGTTCGTGGAAGGATCTAGCTCGGGAGCCTACTGAGGCCGAGCTAGAAAATATGACTTATCTGGAAATGTTGCGATGGACTGAAAAGAAGTTGCCACGAGAACTGTCATGGAACAGTTCGCCGCAAGGACGGTACTTCCAAAAAGAGAAAACATCGCAGATCGGGGCCCAGGTGATTTACCGAGAAACCGTTTTTCACACAAACGTTTTATGGAACCAAGTACACCCGGAAGATTATACAGACCCCGGAGAAAGGTATCAGGTGCCAGTACCATCGGAAACGTCAAACGGAAGCACGGTGAATCTAGAACACCTGGCTATCCTTCAAAGAACCGGGTACATTAACCCTAGCCGACTCTTTGCAGGGGCAGGAACCCCAGGAAACCCGGATGCAACCGCAGCCGCAGCAGCTGTCCCTGCGGTCCCATCCCCTGCGCCGCAAGGACCCATATCCCCACATCACAACCCCGCTTTACGATCGTTACCACGCCCGGCAGCGATACCTATCCCCGCCGACCCGGTACAACCCCCAAACACACCACCACCATTCATCGTCGGAGTAGCTAACACAAATCCGTGGGGGCAAGTAAAGCCGCAACTCGTGGATCCACCCGAGAAATTCAAAGGGGAATCCAGCGACGTGGACCGATTTCTTAACCAGTGCGAGGACTACTTCAACGTATTCCCTCAACAGTTCACCATGAACATGCATGGACAAAGCCCAAACCGGGTAGTATTCTGCACGTTCCGACTTGCGGATAAAGCCCTACACTGGTGGAATCACGCAAGGGACAAATACTACGACGAAACATGCGGCTACCTGCGATACCCCGCATGGCATGTATTCAAACAAGTAATCGAAGACCAATTCCGTACCGACGCGGAGGTAGAACTCAAATTACAAGAGTTCAAACGCCTCCGGCAGAATACGTACAAATCGGCCAAAGAGTTTTTCCATGACTTCGAACGACTGGCAAAAGAATCCGGCAAGCGACACAATGAGGAATACATGATCGAAATCCTCAAACCGGCCATTCGGAAAAACGTAAAAACCGCAATCCACGCCACCGGAACTGCACTCCCACGCACATACGCAGAATGGAAGTTCCAAGTTGAACAGATGGACTATAATTACCAAGTGGGACTAGCCGAAGATGCAGGAAGAAACCAGGGGGTGCAGGGACAACAGAACAAGGGAACGGGAAAAGCCAGAAGCTCCGGGAATTCCCAGGGTGATAGGAAGACGGGCACTGGCACCACATACGGGGGCCAAGGCCAACCGACGGAGATAGACCGTCTCTGCAAGGAAGGTCGATGTTTCCAATGTGGTCACAAGGGACATCGGAAGCAAGACAACAAATGCCCCAAGGACGAAAGTACGTGGCTCGTCAAACACCAGCCCAAGTTCTCGCGCACCCAAATTCGTGCCATGTATCAACAAGTATTAAAGGATGAAGAAGGGGAGGCCTCAACGTCGAAAGTCGAGGAGGTAAAAGACGAGCCGGCGGCGTAAGCGACAAATGCGCATCGGCAAAGGACACAATTTCATTTAGTGGTGCATCACAGAACCCCGCAGGTCGGACTAATCTACCGCATGTAGTATCTCGAGGCAATGGAACAACTTTCACGCAGTCACAAAATGAAATTACTCAGTCGCATAAAAAGAACGGTGTACAGAGGATTACCACCGTGC